AGGAATTCGAACTGCGGGGACGGAGAAAAAGGCTCTGGGGGGAGACCTCCCCCCGTTCCCCGGGGAATTTCCTTCCCCGGGGACGGGGATCGAACCCTAATTTTATTTAAGTTCCAGTATATTTAATTAATAACAAAAAATTATAATTATTTACGTTTTTAATTTGTCCTTCCAAATAAGTAATTTTATTGTCTTTTTGTTCACTTCCAGTTTTTAATTGTTGAATATTTTCTTTTAAAATTTTAATTTCATTTTCATGGTCAGAATTTATTTTCACAATTTTATTTTCATTGTCAGTATTTGCTTTTTCAATTTTCTAAAATTATTGGATTAAATTTTCTTTAATTAACCCCCAAAAAAATAATTTAAATATTTCCAAAAAATATTTGGTAATCAAAGCTTTCAACACCTTTAGTGCAGAAAAATTTAGCCCTGCATAATACATTGATAGAAAATGCATCTTTTAGATAAGACTGTCAAAATTTTAGATTATTTTTAGGTAAACAAAGTGGAGCAGCTAAATCCAAGTCTGCAAGGTTAGGATATAGGGTGGTAAAGGTTAATGGGGAATATGAGGGATTTAGTGAATTAAGAGAGATATGGCAGGATTGTGTGGATTAAAGGAGTGCTAATGGGTTAATTTAAACATCCAAACTTTTTTAGTTTCATTCAATTCATTTTTTAAAGAATTATTTTTCTCTGTTAAATTAGCACTTCTTAAATTTTCTTCAGTAAATTTTATTTGTAAATTGTTAAATTCTGTATGTAGCTTTATTAAATCATCAATTCGTCTATTTAGCTTAAAATGGGAAATTTATATTTTTAAATTAGTTTATGAAAAATTTTACTTTTAATTCCAAATCAGAATTTAATCCTTCTTCAGCCATTTTATAGGAAAATTTTAATTAAATCTGATAATTCTTAAGTGTTAAAGTGTATATTAAATTGAAAAAATTAAAAAAAAAGTACGAATTGCGACTGTGTATGACTAGTGTTCGGCAAATGACCTTTTCCGGTATTCGGTATCGGTATACCGAAAAAATACCGATACCGAAAAATACCGATTTTTACAAAAATTGACCGGTACGGTATCGGTATCGGTATACCGGAAAAATACCGATACCGGAAAATACCGTCTCAACATTTTCGGTATACCGGCCGGTATTCGGTATTTTTTAAAAAAATTTATAAAATTTTTTAAATTTTATTTTTAAAATTTTAACAATAAATCTTAACAATCTCAAGGACTTGAGCTTCTTCTAATCGATCATAGCAAGATTTGAATCAGCAAAATGTCCAACAATTGCTCGACATTTAGCTAATTGAAAAATACAATGCCCCCTCCATTAGAATACCCTCCTTTAATAGAATGCCCCAGAAGGATAATTGAAAAATACAATACCCCCTCTAATAGAATGTCACTATATATCCTTTTTCAACGCCGCAGGCGAAAATTTTGAGAATTTCACAAATACCGAAATACCGGAAAATACCGCAGTATTTTTTCGAGGACCGGTACGGTATCGGTATACCGGAAAAAAATACCGCGGTATACCGGGAAAAATACCGCGGTATACCGTACCGTGCCGAACACTATGTATGACCCCCTTTTTAATTTTCCCTCAAATCTGTGGCAATAGGTACTCAGCTCTGCGTGTGAAAAATTTGGCCCGTAAAGTAGAACCTATTGAGCGGCATTTAATTTAAATAAATTAAATGTATAATTAAGTTAAATGTACAAAAGAATAATGAATTTTAAATCTTTTTCTTAATCAAAAATTTAATTTTGTGGAGAAAAATGATAAAGTAAATGAATAAAAAATATATAAATTCATATATTGAAGTTTCTTTTACCCAGACAGTTTTATTGTGAATATTTGTTGAGGAAAAAAGCGATTATTTGTTTGTTGAGGTCATATTTTAAATATAAATACAGTATGCGCTCAAATAGTGTTATCCCAAGGTATAAGGCCATTACTTGCTTCAGGATTTCCGAATTTTTCTAAATTTAGATTTCCCAATGTACAAATTATGAATCAGGAAGCAGGTGACCATTGATTATATAATTTGATTTATTTATGTATGTCTCTGGTAGACAAATAAAAATTCAATCTCTTTTTTTCTTTCGTAATTTTAAGAATTATTTTCGGAGAATGGAAATAGATCTAGAGAAATGAAACAAAATTGCGAACAATTAAAATTGAAAAGAGATTTCAAAAATTAAAAGATGAAAATAGTGTGTATTTAAAACAAAAGGATGAAAAAATTAATTCCAAGTCTGAGTACCCTAGTACGATTGTTTGGCATATAAAGCTATCGGCCGCTATTAAAAAATACAGTTTGTATTAAATCTCATTTGAGCTTTATTTAAAGAATATCAATGTTGCTTACTAAAACTTCAAAATAATTTAAAGTTCCTCAAAACAATTTGTTATCTTTTATTTTATAATATATCCGTAATTTAAATATATTTTAATGATTTCAATGTTTTACGTTTCATCAATTTTTGCCCATTTCTTTACGAATTCAAATTATTCCCTCATTCCAACTTTCAAATATTCTCCCTTTGATCTTATTTAAATTGTTGCCCTTCAAACCTCTAATTCCTTTGATCATCAAATACATTTTCCTTCTGTTCTTTTATCTTACCGCCCTTCCTAGTCCTTATATATAGGTAATTGTTTCATGTTATTTATTTTCCTTGCTTTTCGGTACACCGAAGTTGATTCCAGATCCGTTTGCGTTCCGAGCCCAAAACTTTTTAATGTTTCTGCTACAATTTGATAGAGAATTAAATACACTACAAGATACTACGAAAAAAGTTATGATCGATAAAGCGCCGAAAAATCAAAACTTTTTAAAGTTAGTTTTCAGCTTAGCAACTTTTTTATCAGAGTCGAAAATTTTGATATGTTAAAGTGCTTTTAAGTCTCTGTCAAACGGTACCAAGAACTAGAGTACGTCGAGTACCGAGTAAATGGTAAAAACACGAGCTCGAGTAATCGAGTAATTTTTGTAAAACAGTATTTTAAAATAATTTTACTAAAAACTATTGGGCATTTGTTGGCTCCGGGGTTTTCAAATTATTGGCTCCGGAGCAGCTCCATATTGGCTCTGCGTGGAATATCAATGGATAATATTATTTCGGGGGATTTGTGAGGATTAAGTGAATATTGACCTTCCGTCCTATTAGCTCAATATTCCTCCCGCCCTATTAATCACTCCATCCAGAAAAAATTGAAACAATAATTAACCAGAGTAATTATTTCAGCATATACAGGGAGCTTTAACATAAAATTTATTTCAACAGATTTTGTTATTTTATTTTAATTCTTTCTATTTTTAATTACAAATTCTCTACAAAATGTCTGAAGAAGGGTTATCGTCATCAGAGTCTGATTGGATTTTGATTGAAAAAGAGATAAATGATTTTATTAAACTTGAAGCTAAAATTCAAAATCTTCAAATAACATTTGTTGAAGTGAAAGAAAAGACTGTTAATTTAGAAAAGAAAAATGTTTTTCTTGAAAATGAATTGAAAGTTTGGCTATTTTTATTAAATTTTTATTAAATATTTTTAGAAAATTCAAAAAACAAATTTTGATAATAAAAATGAAATTGATGTAATTAAACATAATTTTCAAAAATTAATTGAAGAAAATATTAAAAAATCAAAAGCTAGAAATAATAATTTTTTAAAACAAAAGTGTGAGAATATTAATTATTTGGAGGAAGAAATTAAAAAGGTAATTTTTTAAAATTACCTTTTCTGAACCGGAAATACAAGATACCCATTACTCTGCACTAGAGTCAAACCAACCGAACCGAAAAACCAAGATTTAGGGTTCCGTTTTTATTTTTCCACCCTCACGCTGGATTAAAAAACGACGAAAAAGGTAGAAGTTTACGGATGCATGTGGATTTGGATGTGTATCTGGTCTTTGGAGGGATTAGGCCCTGATATCAGTGGTTAGGAGTGGAAGGGGATATCAGAGAATTTAAATTAGCTGGAGATGGATTGTAATTTAGAAAGTTAGGAAATAAGGAAGATATCATGTATTAGGTGGTAATCAGGGAATTCAAGGGATTTTGGGAAGATATCGGTGTATTATCGATGGATTTTATTTATTTTGATTTATTATTCAATTCTTTCTCTCACCTTATATCACTCATTCCCCAATCGATTTCAATTAATTATCCCTCAATCCTTTATCTCTCAAATCTTTTGTTAGAATTAAAATTTAAAAAATGTATTTATTAAAATTAATTAAAATTTTATTTATAAAAAGGCAAGTGATTCGTATGATAAAATTTTTGGCGATTTAATTAAATTAAATAATTTGAATTTTTATTATTATGTGGTTAGTTTGTTAAATTAAATAAAATTAAATTATTAAATAATTTTTTAAAAGAATTTTGTTAAAATTAAAAATAAATGGGGTATATTTCGTCGTGGATATACTAATTGCTGCAAAAAGTATTGTAATACAAGAAAACCTCTTGTTAAATGTATTGAAGGAAATGGATTTGGAAAATTAATTGATGATGAAAATATTAAATATATTAATGCTCTGGATGAGAAAGGAGGTAAATTAATAGAATAACCCCTGAAGCATTGACCTTGAAAACCTACAACTTTTAAAAGGGAATATAAAGGGGTTAAGGGGGATAAATACCCTGCCCTATGGAGATAAGCAGATATTATAAATACCAAGTTCTGAATTTTAGAACTTATGATACGGTGTTGTGTCAGTTAACCACTCTGAGTTCGGGTTTCTATCCGAATCACTCTAAATCCCTCAATATTCTCTTTAAAAGTTTTGGGTTTTCAGTGTCAATAGGTCTTCGGTGTGTGGGTTCAGGGTTGACACCGATTATAGACTTTTTGAATTAAAAATACATTTTTAGGTTACGATCATTGTGTTTTCATTTATGCAAAAAAAGCATTCTACAACCCCGAAAATAGTCTCAATCATTCTTTATATTATTTTGAAATTAAATGTAAATTTGAAAGAGAGTTAAATAGTGGCAAAACATGGATGGTTATCGGACTTGAAAATTTAAGTACAAAGAGACTTATTTGGTATTCTACGAAGGATGCTACACTTTTAACTGATAGATGGGAAAAATTTAAACTTTTAACAGAGTTCAATGATGGTGATGTCCTTGGTTGTGGATTAGTTTATCCTCCAGCTAATGAATTTCCTTATGTATTTTTTACACAAAATGGAAAACAAATTGGTAAATATTTAAAATGGAGTTGTGCAAAATATCCAAGGAAGATCCGAAACACGAATAAGCCCGAAATATGCTCAAAAATATGCAAAATTTCCCAAAATATGCACCGATGTGCAAATATTAGAAATCGGTTCCTAAATTACTTTAACAATTTTATGCCACAATTTGACTACCCTCATTAATTAAAATTATTCAATTAAATATTTTTAAGGTTTAGCTACGTTATTATTGGACAATTACAACTCATATAAACCATTTATTTACCAAACATGTTGTTCAGTTGAAGCTAATTTTGGGAACGATTTGGAAACTAAACCTTTCAAATATGATATTTCGAAGCATTTAGTTCTAAAGAATTTAGTTGATTTTTTTCCGATTTATTTTATTTTTTGATTTACTTTTATCAATTTAAATTATCAATTTTTAAAATATTTTTTTGAATTTGTTAAATAAAATTTTGTTTGGCGTCTATGTTTTTTTTCGTTTTCTTCGTTTTGTAGGTCTGGTCGTCCCCAACATTCACAGACCATTTTAGTCAAATCCTAGCCACTTTTGGTCTATATCAATTTACTCAAAAATCCAAGACGTTTCGCCTGTAGCGCTAGTCCCTTCAGTATTTATTAAAAGAAGACACAAGGATATTTTATACATAAATTCAAAGTTTGCTGTAAAATGCATTTTGATCATAAAATTTTAAATAAACTTAATGTTTTAGTATTTGAAAGAAAGAAAAATATGACCTTTATTTTTTATTTAAATTTTTTTGCAAAAAAAGGGAGAGATAAAATGAGTGAGATATTTAAAAGGGGGAGGAGCTTAATATTTTGTTTAAATTTTTATTTAAATTATACATTTTTTGTTTATTTACACCTTTTAGAACATTTTCTTTTCATTCTTTTCCGATTATAAATTTTTAAAATTAAATTATTTTACTTTTATTTCATTTTCAAAGATATTTCCATTAAATTTAAAAAATTTCAATTTACTCCAAGTCTAAAAAATGGTTTATTTCCGACTTGGTAAATGTACTATTTGCCATACTCGTTTGAGTCCTGGCAATATTTATACTTTGAAAAATTGTAATCACACATACCATAAAAATTGTATTACTCGTTGGATTGAAGGAGGGGTGAGGAAATTTATTTAAAATTTTGTTAAGTGACTGGATAACATTATAAGGTACACCTAATACTAGATACACCTACCTCAATTTAAAATTAATTTTTTAGGTTGACAATTAGGCTATTTAAGATTCACTTAATTAGAGATCAAACTTTCATTCCTATACTATTCATCTGCGTCTTTTAACTTTTAATAAATCCCCAATTTTTGCAAGAGTCACAATTTAGCTTACAATTTTTAAACTGCAAAACTTTATTAACATATACAAATTTCCAAATTTTATTTTTAACATTTCTAGTCAGAAACCTGTCCCCGTTGCCGAACTCATGCTACTTTGGATGATATTAAGCAACTTTTTATTGAAGAAGCGGGTGATGATTCGCAGGAATCCGATGATGATGAGTTTACTGAAAGTACGAGTAATGTGGTTATACGAACTCCGACTGTGAGTTATAATTTAATAAAATTGGGGGTTAATTCATCTAACAGACAATTAACCGAATTTTGAACTTTGAAATTATTAAAAAAAATAAACTTGGAATAAATAAAAAAAAATAAATAAAATTTAAACAGCCCGTCAAATATTCATTGGGTTAATTTTCTCGTTCATTTAATTTTTTCAGTTACTGAACGCAAAAATACAAGTACTTGTCAGAGACTTGAATAACAGTAAATTTACTTTGGAAATGCAAGTGAGATTAAATTGTAAAAAATATTTGAAATAAATATTTAAATTAAGCCGAACAATACTATTTTGGATATGAAGAACAAAGTTTATGAGCGTAAAGGTCAAACAGTTGAAGAACAGCGTTTGGTAAGAGAAATGTGGTTTTAGTAGTGTTTTCTCTTAAAAAAGTATTTCTTTTGATATCTAATCAGATAAACATTTTAATCAACAAATTATACTAGAGGGGGTTGGAAAAAGAATGTATAAGTACTAGGGTTGCTCCCGACGGGGGGGGGGGGCAGGGAACGACAGCGCCACGGGGGGTGAATTTTCTTTTTTACAGGGGAGGGGGGGGGCGTGGAATAACCCTAATAAGTATTTAAGAGATAATGATTACAATAAACTGAATTAAGAGATATATTTTAGATTTATTCCGGTCAACTACTCAAAGACAATTGTAAATTTATATTTATTTTTAAAAAAACAAATTTTTATTTTAATTCAAAAAATAATTTTAGATAAACTCAGCCATTACAAAATTGGAAATAATTGTATTGTTGATTTGGTTATGCGCCAAAACGGGGGCGAAATGTATTAAATTGAAATTGATTTAAATTAAATTTTGTAAATTTACAATTGTGGTGTTAAAAATATATATTTTTTTATTAAAACTATCTTTTGGTTGATAAAAGACAAAAAATTGAAAATAAATTTTTAGTTTTCCATAATAATTTTAAAAAATATTTTTAGACCACAAATTTTTAAATTATTTGATTTAAAAAATCCTCCACACAAATATTCTTAAAGAATTGTTTTTAACAGAGATTTATAAAGTTATTAAATAAAAAATTGAACTTAAAAAAATTGAACTTAAAATTCCTTAAATGCTTTTAAAATGTTTTTGACTTAAAATGTTTTTTACTTAAAAGCTTCGTGGTGCTTATAATTTTCTGAGTGTATAATATTCACGGACCAAAAAAGGCACCAACAACTACCCATTTCGTAAATTTTCTTAATGTTTGATAAAGTCTACATAATTAAAATAATATTCTAATTTTATTTAGATTTGAGTCCCGAGATTTGAGTTTATTTTTGATTAAAAGCGGAAATTTAAAAATTAAAATGTATTACATATTTTAAAAATCCTCATAAACGAAATCAAATTTAAGACTTTAAATACAATTTTAAAAAATTATATGTCATTATATTAAATTTAATTTCCAATCATAATCAGAAGTAGAAAGCATACTTCCACAATCTTCAGGATCATCCCCAGCTTGAGAAATTCCATTCTTTTCCATAAGTTCTTCAACCATTTTATTTAATTCATCAATTTCTTTATCCTAATAATTTATATTTTTAGAGGTCTTTAAGTAAAAAGTAAAACCATCCCCAAGTTTTTATAATGGGAAACTTAGTTTTGTTAAGCATATATTCTGGTAAGAACCGGGTAATTCTTCGGTTTTCGCCCCCCCCCCTTTTTCGTTCCTCAAAGTATTAAAAAATGGTCAGTCAATCTTAAGTTATAGAACTCGTCGAGCTGAGTCGAATGACACCAAAATAAAAAAAATCCGACTTGATTGGACCCAAATACAGACCCGTGAAAATTGAACAACCACAGGGGTGATTTTCTGAAATAAAAAAAAGTTTATGGAATGAAAGCTCATTCGAAAGAGCTTGTCGAGCTGAGTCGAATGACACTAAATTCGATATGATTGGACATGATTTGACAAAGTTATGACATTATGTAGACCAAACGGAGTCGACGACTTATGTCATAACTTTGTCAAACCATGTCCAATCACGTTGATTTTGGTGTCAGCGACTCAGCTCGACGAGCTCTTTCGAATGAGCTATCATTTGTACAAATTTTCGTCCTTATGGTTTTCGCCCCCTATGGTAGTTCAATTTTCAGGGGTCTGTATTTGGGTCCAATCAAGTCGGATTTTTTTTTTATTTTGGTGTCATTCGACACAGCTTTACGAGTTCTATAACTTAAGATTGACTGACCATTTTGTAATACTTTGAGGAACGAAAAAGGAGGGGGGGGGCGAAAACCGAAGAATTACCAAGAACCGATCAGGCCCCCATTTTTTCCTCCCCAATCTTTCCTCTATATTTTGCAAAATTGTTAGACTTTTTCCTTTCTCCATACAAATTTGCCTTTCTAATTTTTGTCCACAATCAGACAAAAAAGGATTATATAATTTTATACAAGTTAAAGTATACATGCCAAAAACAAGTAAAAGGGGGAAAAATATAGGGGAAGATTTGGGAAGGAATAAAGGAGTCTTTCCGGTTAAATATTACCCATACCCTCCCTTACTTAGTGGGTTAAAAATTATTTTAAAGAGTAGTCTTCAGCCTTAGAAATCCCTTGAATGTTTCTAATAAAACTTTTCTTTAATTACAAATTTTCTTAACCTTTCCTTGAATTGTCGAATTCAAAGTTTGTATTTGTGTTTCCTTCATTTTTAAACGATATTTAAGCCCTAAAGTATTTTCTTCGTGTTCTTTTTTAATTTTTTGAATTTCTAGATTTGCTCTAAAATTTAATTTATTTTTTTAATTTTTAAATAAAAATTAACTGATTTAATTGAGAATCAGCAGTTTCTCTCAATTCTTCATATTTTGTAGCTTCCTCAGCAAGAGTATTTTTTAATTCATTTTCACTCTAAAAGGATTTCTTTTAATTTTAGAAAAACTTTTTTACATTTATAAGACGAACACAATGTTCTCTCATTTTTTCACAACGTTTGAATAAAGTACCACATTTATCTTCCAACTCACGGATCTCATTCCTTGCTTCAGTCAATTCCTCCACTTGTCCAGGCCGATCACTTCCAGTTTTTAATTGTTGAATTTCTTGTTTTAAACTTTTAATTTTATTTTCATTTTCAGACTTTATTTTTTGGAGACCCTGAAAATATATTAAGTTTAGAGAGACCGGTTACAATTTTATTTTTCGGTTATTTTGTAGGCTAATGTACAAAAGGTTAAAAAACTATAACCTTTGTAGATATTTTTAATGTTTCTTTTTTATGGACTTATAAAAGAGGAGGATACTTTTGAAAAACTAATGAAAGGAGAACCGATCTGATCTGAAAATTTACAAATTTAAAATTAAAATTTACTAGTTGCTCTAAAAAAAAATTTTTCTGTTAAAAATTAAATTAATTACCTTTTTAATTTTTTCTTCCAAAAAATTAATTTTTTGGTCATTTTCAACTTTCAATTCATTATTTTCTTCAGTTAATTTTTGGAAATCCTTTTTCAAATTTTTAATTTCATTTTCTTGTTCAAACTTGAGATCATGGATTCCCTAAAATATAACAAATTTAGCAAGCTTTTTCAACAAAAATGTGTTTGGTATAAATTTTGAAAAATTTTGAGTAAGCTAGAAATGAAAAAATAAAGAAAACTTGTACGAAACTTTATGTAAATTCAGCCGGATTTGATTTGTATTCTTGCTAAAGGAAAGTAAAGAGAGTTGGACCTATTTGAGTGTAACTTGTGGGCAATGAAAATCTTTCTTAATGAAGGAGTATTTTACAGTAAGGTTGGCGGATCCGGATATCCGGATCCGAAAAAAGGCCGGATATCCGGAAATTTTCGGTTCGGATACCGGATCCGGATCCGGATATCCGAAATTTTCGGTTCGGATATCGGATCCGGATCCGGATATCCGAAATTTTCGGTTCGGATATCGGATCCGGATCCGGATATCCGAAATTTTCGGTTCGGATATCGGATCCGGATCCGGATATCCGAAATTTTCGGTTCGGATCCTAGAATTAGGGAAAAAGTAAGAAATCTTGCCCAATGACCTTCCAAATTTCTCAAAATTTTCGCCTGCGGCGCTGGAAAATGAACAAATCTGGTAGCCTAGGCTTCGAAAATTCCCAAAATTTTCGCCTGCGGCGCTGGAAAAGGAACATCTGGTAGTCTAATCTTCCAAAATTCCCAAACTTTTCGCCTGCAGTGCTGAAAATTGAAGAAATTTGGCTTCATTTGCTTCCAAAATTACAAAAAATTTTCGCCTGCGGCGCTAAAAAGTGAATTTTTTGGCCTACGGCCTTCCAAAATTTTCAAAATTTTTTTTGGCCTACGGCCTTCCAAAATTTTCAAAATTTTCGCCTGCGGCGCTGTCAGTGGAAGAAATCTGACTTAAGGACCTCCAAGTTTATCAAAATTTTCGCCTGCGGCGCTTAAAAAGGAAGAAAAGGGATTTGTATGATAACGGAGGATTTACCTCAAAATCCATCAGTATTCTCTTAATCCCACGATCCCAGCTATCAATTTACCAAATTCAAAAATATGGAAATAGCCGATGTATCTACTACTTCCCCCAAATCCACTAAATTCTAACAAATCATCAGATAAACTACAAAATTTTCCACACATTGATTACACCTAGATATCTCTGTTAAGCATAAATTCCCTCGATAACACTGTTAATCCCCAAATCCAATCATAATTGCTCCTAATCCCTTTATATCCTCCATAAGACTCAACTTTTCAGCGCCGCAGGCGAAAATTTTTAAAATAAAAATTTCGGTTCCGGATCCGGATATCCGAAAATTTCGGTTCGGATATCGGTTCCGGATCCGGATATCCGAAATTTTCGGTTCGGATACCGGATCCGGATCCGGATATCCGAAATTTTCGGATCGGATACCGGATCCGGATCCGGATATCCGAAGATTTCCAACTATCCGCCAACCTTATTTTACAGGTGGAGTGCCGTAAAAGGTTTTTTTTTATTAAATTAATAATAAACTTTCAACCTCCAATTTCTCTAAACGTTGTTTTAATTGTTCAATTATATTATTTTTTGGAGAACTAAACCAAACAGAAGAAGTGGACAACCCATTAATTCTAGATTTTTCCAAATTACTATTTTCCATAAATCTTTCTAATTCTTCAAGTGTTTCATTATTATCAGAATTGTTTGTAGAGAATGAAGTATCTTTTAATTGTTTTGGAGTTTCCATATTTAATTTTTTAAAAATACTCTTCTGAAATTTATTTATATTTTTTGGTCAATACAAAAATTTTTCTCCGAAAATTTGGACAAAAAATTAAATAAATGTTCGATTGTTTAAATTTATATTTAAAATTAGAAAAATATTTTTGAATTAAATTTCTGACTCTAGGTCAGCAAAATTTGGAGAGTTGATATTCAATAAATGCTTCTCTCGAAAATATTTGATAATAAGTTAATTTAATTAAATTAATTCAAAACATTCAAAAAGGTAAAAAGAAGAGAAACAAAAACTCCAAAAATTGTAAAATTAATTTGAAATATCACTAAAACTTTTAGACTAAAGAAATTGTCAAACATAATTTTTGGATTAAGAATTAAAAGAAAAACTTATTAAATTAGCCTTTTTAATTGTTACAATATACATACATATTGAAATAATAATATTTCTTTAATTTAAATTTAAAAAAAGCAGGGCATTTTATAAAATAAAAATTGCAAACAAAAATGGCGTATTTGTTTGAAGGAATTTTGATTAATTAATTTAAAGTTATTAAATTTATAGAAAAAATTAAATCAATTTTTCTTAAAGAAAATTTAAATTTTTGGGGAGAATTTAAATTTATGTTTAAATTATTAAAGGTACTAAATGAATAAAAAATTAATTTGAAGAATTTATATATTGAAGGATTTTTTGCCCAGAGATTTTTTGTGAATATTTATTTGTTGAGAAAAAAGACATGGAAAAAGGATTAATTTTTATTTGTTGAGGGAATATTTTAAATTTAAAAAATAAAAAATGTTTTGAGGGATAATTTAAAATGTTTAGAATTAAATTAAAAATAAATTTGAAAAAATATAAACAAATTAATTTTTAATAATTTCTAGATTTTAAATTTTAATTAAATATTTAAAATTATACAAATTAAAATTAGTTAAATTTTAATTAATTTAATTTAATTAAAAAAATTTTAATAAATTTTTTTAATTTAACAATTTTTTAAATAACAAAAACTATTAGTTTTAAACAATTTTAAAAAACTATTTTAAATGACAACATTTATTTTTAAATTAAATAAAAACAAATAAATTGAATTAATTAAATGACATAAGTATAATTAAAAAGTAAAAAATACATAACAAAATACTCCCCAACTTCTCATACTTTTTCTAAGATTCTTTCTTCCCTTTCCCTTTTTAACGTGTTTTTGGATGTTGTTCAGAAATGTGAGTCTCCAATTTTTGATATGAATTGCTCTTAAAAGCACAAACATCACAACAATACCTAAATAGAATTTAAATTGAATGAAAAAACAAAAATATTTACAAACATTATTTCAGCAGAGCACAGTTTAACATTATGCTCAAGATTCATATGTTGTAAAATATTGAATGAATATGTCTGAGAAAAATGTTGAGAATTTAATTAAAAATAATATTTCGGAAAAAAATTTAAAAAAATAAATTAATTAATTAATACAAAAATATTTTTTTATTATTTAATTAATATTAATTTTAAAAATTAATAAAAAATTTAACAAAGAAAACAATTAATTTCAGAATTAGAAATCAGAATTTTATTTCCGGATTTATTATAAAAAAATATTTTTACTAAAATATTTAGTTTTGAAATTCTGAGAGAATAATTTTTAAAATTAAAAATACCTTCCCGCACAATTTGCAGCAACAGCCATCATTTTTGTTTTGTGCTTTTTTTAGCAAATCATTAGTTACAAGATGATGAGACATAAGCATATGGCGCTCAAGTCCTTTAATAAAAAGAATTTTTTTCAAATTTTTTTTTGATTATTTCAATACCTTCATTAGTCCAAAAACGTTCTCGACAACGACCACATGCTACAGGTGCTCCCTGTGCCATATCCGTGGCTATTTTTCCTTTCAATTGGTTGTGGACAGATTGCAAATGGATTAGGTAATTATCTAGGTCAGTGCAAGTATAATCGCAAATTTCACATATTTGAGTTAATTTTTGTGCTGTACCGTCAGATGCTTCAAGCGACAAATCAAAAGTATTGGTGTTTCTTTTCTAGATTTGAAAATATTATTTAATTAAAGCTAAAACAAGAGAAAATATATTTACAGCATCAAATAAAAAAATTAAATTTTTGTTTTACAAATTAATTTAAAAAACAGTCCGACCTTTTCCACACTTTCTATTTTTTCTAGCTGTTCAATTTGTCTTCAAAAAAATAAATTATGTAATATAAATAATTTTCTAAATTATTTAATTACTTTTTGTCTTTAATTCTTTCATTTTGAAACCAAATTCGAATAACTCTAGCACTTAATCCAGTTTGTTCAACTAATTGTTCTTTAATGAATGTATCCGGTCTTGGATTTGTACTATAATAATGTTTTAATAATCTTAATTGTGATTCATTTAAAACTGTTCGAATTCTTTGTGTCTAAAAATTAAAAATTTACTTTTGTATGAAACAAAGCATTTTTTCATGTTCGGGACATACGCCCGCTGAGTCTGGGACCGTTCCTTACCTTATCCCTCGAAATTTCTGAAAGTTATAAACGTTTTTCTGAAATTTAAAAAGATTGGCTATAACTTTCGGAAATTACGAGGGAAAGGGTGAGGATGGTTCCAGACCCAGAGGTCATTGGCTACCCATTTAAACTTGGGTAGCAACCCGATCCTTTGTCAGGGATTGGGGTTTGACGGGGAGGGCATGTCGTCTTCGGTGTCGGGGTCGGGGTTGGGATTTTGGGGGTCGGGTTGCTACCCCCACTTTAAACAAACATTATTTTTAGAGTCTGATTGTTGAAAGTTTTCAATTAATTTTTGTATATTTCGTTTTATTTCTTCAAGTTCATGTTTACAATTTATTTTTTGAATTTTCTAAAATCAAAAGAAATTTAAATTTACACTTGCAAAGTTTAATACCTTCAATTCATTTTCAAGAAAAAAATTTTTCTTTTCCAAATTTAAATTCTTTTCCTTCTCTTCAATAAATTTTAGTTGAAGATTATTAAAATTTGTTTGAAGTTTAATTAAATCATTTTCCTCTTTTCCAACCAAAATCCAGTCAGAATCTGATGAATCTTCTTCAGCCATTTTGTTTGGGGATTTCCTAATGCAGATATGACTAAATTAAAGTAAAAATAGTGAAGAAAACTGAACTTAATAAACAAAGCCTTTATCTACTCAAAAATATTTAATAATTCCCAAAATGCATATGTGAATGAATAGAAAGCAAGCCTAGACATTAAAAATGGAGAAGAGTAAGTTTGTAGGTCAAAAAATACAATCGAAAAGCAAGCCAAGTAAGAAATGAAAGGCTTTGTAGACTGAAGTCTGTCTCCCCTTGCAACAAATAAAGGTAAGTAAGAATGCATGTGGGGAAAAAGAGAAAAACAGAACGGTAGAGTACGAAATTATCTCGGGTTAGGGTTCGAATTTAGACATAATTTTTATGTCAAAAAAAATGCCATAAAATATAGATATTAAATACCAAATTTCTTTAAAATCTGTCAATGCAGAAAAAAGTTATGAATTTTTCAAATAGTATTTCTTAGTTGAAAGTTTTCTGCGGACATTTCCTGCGGACTTTTTACGGACAATTTTTCTTACAATTTTGCTGAAATGGAATTTCCTCCATCAACTTCACTTTATTTCCGTCGTATATTCAAATGTAAAGAAAATTTCAGTCTCCTAAATTAACATTTGGATCAATGTTACGAGAATAAGGAGATTGAAATAGTAGATCAAATAAAATTTGATCAAATATTAACGTTAACGTTAAATCGGGTGAGAAGGAATAAACTTGTGGCTTTTAAAATATTTTTTACATTTCTTAGAAAAATTAAATACGATTACAAGTTTGGGGTTAAAATTTATAAAACTTTTGTCGATTGAATGTCAAATAAAAGAAAAATTTCTCCCCTTAAAATTTGCATTTATTTTTTTTAAATTAATATCCCTCTTTTCGGAATTATTTTTGAATTTTTTAAAAACACGTAAAATAAAAGAATATTTTTTATTTTAATTAATTTTCACAAAAAGAAGTAAAATCGTCTTTAGTTTGTGTTGTTATTGTTAAAGAATTATTGTTAATTAAAAAAAATAATTATTTCCAATTTCCTTCTCCTCTTCTTCATTATTTACTAAATTAGAATCTCCATGTTGTTGTTCGAGATGCTTATTTAAATAACTTTTTAAGCCAAATCCAAGCACAACTCCAACGTTTTTTAGCTTTTAATTGTAAAAATATTTCAAAATTTCAAAATCTAATTTACCATTATGTTTATTTAAATGTGCTCTAAGATTAGATCTGTCAGAAAATGCCTGCCCACAACCAAATGGTTTCTTTTAAAAAATATAGAATTTATTTTGTAAATTAAAAAACCTGTCCAGTATGTCTACGTAAATGTCCTTTAAGTAGCCATAGACGAGGATAAAATTTTCCGCAAATTGGACATTTATGTTTAGCTTGGTGTGTTAATAAATGCATTGCAAATGCCGGCATTGAAACATAAGGTTTTTCACAATAAAGGCACTAAAATAATTAGGGAAATTAATTAATTCTTTATTTTATTTAGTTCCTTCTCATTGTTACGTAGAGCAAAGCCGGTTATTAACCGGTCCTCCCGGTTAATACTTTCATTTTCCGCGACGCAGGCGAAATTTTTGAAAATTTTGGAAGACCCCCCCCCCCTTCTCGTGGCCTTTTCTACCTTTTTAATTTCACTTTTCATCTTTTCATCGTTTTCATGTTTTAATTGTTTTTCATTTTCTTCAATTAATTTTTGAAAATGTTGTTTCATTTTTTCAATTTCATTTTCATTATCAAAATTTATATTTTGAATTTTCTAAAATTATGTTAAAAAATATTTAATAAAAATATCCAAACTCTCAATTCATTTTCAAGAAAAAAAATTTTCTTTTCTAAATTTAAATTCTTTTCCTTCTCTTCAATAAATTTTATTGAAGATTATTAAAATTAGTTTGAAGGTTAATTAAATCATTTTTCTCTTTTTCAAACAGAATCCAGTCAGAATTTGATGATAATCCTTCTTCAGCCATGTTTTAAAATTTTTTAAGTTAATAAATTCAAATAATAATTTAATTTATTTATTCAAAACTGGGGGGAATTGAAACTTTTTTTTAATTATAAAAGCTAGTTAAAGAAAAATATATAAATTATTTTTTTGGAACTACTACTTTGTTAGTAATGGAAAAAGTAAGCAAACTAGTAAAAATGTAAACGGAGAGAGAGAAGGTTGTAGGCCAAAAAATCCAATTGAAAAGCAAGCCAAGCAAAAAAATAAAATGTTTTTAGTCTTTAATTAAGTTAATTAAATTAAAAATATTTGTTAAAAGTCAAGATTTGTTTCCCGTATATTTTCTCATTTTTCCATTCCCTAGAAAAAATATGAACAAGCAATTTTTCGATATTTTTGAGGTTCGAATGTGCTGAATCCGAATATGAGCTACAACTTTATTTATTTACACCACGCTTACATAAAAACGCAAGACGCGGACTTTGTGCTTCGAAAGATAAATCAGGGATTTAGAGGGATTGAGTGAAGTTGAAGAAAAATTTTTAACTTTGAAATAGAAAAAAGGATTGAGTATACGAACACTTCAATTTTTTTCAAAAATGTTAATTAATTAATTAAGATACAAATTGGAAATTGTTTTCAGGAATGTGTTTTTGTTAATGTTTTGCAATTTATCATAAACATTTAACTAAAAAATATTCTAGAAAATGTGGAAACATTTCCGGAAAAAAGCCAATTTCAAAAACAATTTGCAGAAAACACAATTTCAAAAATAATTTCCGGAAAACTTTAATTAATTATTTACTTCATTAATTTCATTTCTATTTTCTAAAAATTCATTCCCCAAACATTCTTCAGGAATTGGTTGTAGACTATTTGTTTGTTGATATCTTTTTTCGTCTTGTTTACGAAATATTTGAAATTTTAATGTGACTGGTAAAATCCAAGCTTTTTCATTTCCAAAAATTAAATGAAAAAATCCGGTTTTTGGAACAATCTAAAGATTAGAAAAAAATTTGGAAAAATTTCCAATATTTACCCAATTCCAAAAATCAATTCCGGGCAGTCCCGGCCTTTCACACCCAGCATAAACTTCGCATAAATCGTCTACTTCTTCGAGTTTGAAAAGTTTTGTTATTTGTTCGCGTCTGATAGTCTGTTAAAAATAAAGATTAAAATACAAGAATTTAATTTGTATTTTCCGGAAAAGATAATTAATTATTTTAGAAATAATTCTGAAAATATTTTCCGGAAAAGATGGTAAGAGAAATAATTATACCTAAACGGTCATTTTCTTTTATCTTTTATAAATCAGAATTACAAAAATCAGAACTACTTTAGAAAGCTAAATCAGAATCTGATGAATATGCTTGAATGTATTATATAATATTTAATTTTTTTTAATGTTTTGCCCTTTTATTCAAACATTTCCCTCAACACGTGTTTTAATATTTTCGCTTTTACAACCATTCCCTCAAACCATCTTTTAAGTTTAATTTTCCCTTATCAAAAGTATATTTCATTTAGGCTTTTCCGCCCTCCATTTTTTCTTTTGCTTTACACTTCAGAATTTTTTGATATCAGAATTTAAAAAATTCATAGGGTTACATTAAATCATCATTTACAATTAACAAATTATACCTTTCTTTTCTCACTGTAAAGTATATTAATTGTAAGTTCACGTTCGTGAGAGAGAACAAAATGTAAACGTTCACATTTCTCCAGAAAATAAGTTTTTAATAAAAATTCTCCTAAAATTAATTTTTTTCTAATCTTCTAAAATACCCCTCTAACCTGCAGGAATTTTTAATTCTTCCAATTCCAACAAATCTTTTGGGGATAATTCCAAAATAGGTGTTTGATAAGGCTTTGGTTCCTTATTTTTAATAAAAATATTTTGAGATTATTTTTACGGGTCAACCCCGAAGGTCATTTCCCCATTGGTCATGGGAAGATAAAGGCGACTCAGGGATTAGTCCCCTCAATCTTAACAAATCCACATTAATCCGCCCAAATCCACTGATATCCCCCTCCTCGGTTTTGACTTTTTGGGTTGATCCCACTTTTAAAAAAAACTCACCCTAATTTTAAATTCTCTTTCTCCTCCATAGTCCCTAGGAAATGCCTCCAATGGAATTAACAATTCCAGCAAAGGTAATTTCTCCCGCCAGTCATTTTCCTGTCCCAGTAAATAAACTTTCTGTCTATATTCATCCCCTAGAAAAGGAGTACAAGCATTCCATAAAGTTCTCATTGCAGGAGTACAATTAATACAAACAATGGCTGACAAAAATGAAGGGTATTGCTCTACAAGTGTTCCCCACATAATTCGGTAAGGACCTTAAAAAATGTTTTGCAAAAGAATAGATAAACTGATTACAAATTGTACAACAAGTTTGTAATATTTTCAAGTTTGTATTTTTTTATAAATGTTTTTACAACTATAAAGTTTTACAAACACATGTTTTACAATTAAGTTGAACAAGTTTTATTAATTAAGTATTATTTTAAGTTTATTGACGGTTCAAGTTTGCTTCAAGTTTATTTATGCAACAAGTTTTTTGTTGCTTCAAGCCTACTATTGCTTCAAGTTTACATTGCTTCGAACTTATTTTTGCTGCAAGTTTATTTTGCGCAAAGTTTGTTTTTGCTTCATGTCTATTTTGCTTCAAGCTTATTATTGCTTCAAGTTTATTTTTGCTTCAATTTTATTTTGCTTCAAGTTTATTTTGCTTCAAATTTATTATTGCTTCATACTTATTTTTGCTTCAATTTTAGCTTGCTTCAAGATTATTTATCAAGTTTAGCTTGCTTCAAGATTATTTTGCTTCAAGTTTATTTTTGCTTCAAATTCATTTTGCTTCAAGTTTATATTTACTTCAAGTTAATTTTAATCGAAAAACTTTCTATAAGCGATTGTAAAATCAAGATTTGATTGTAACATTTTTGAAACAGAAAGCTGCAACCTTTTTCACAAATTGTAAAATCATTTCAAGTTTATTTTAATACTTTACAAATTGTAATTCTTAATTTTTAAAACTTTGTTTTAAATAAAACTTGTTTGTTTGTTTCTTTAGATGTTTACATGTTTTTAACTCTTTGTAAAAACATTCTATAATGTCTTTGCTTGTTTTTATTATTTTAAATGTTTTACAACATGTTTCAATTATCAATTAATGTTTTACAAACTTAAAACACCTGTAATAAAACTTATAAGACCAGTATGAAAATACATTCCATCCAAATCAAGTAAAAGGATTGCACTTTGCCTTTTCCCCGTCCTCTCTTCAGAAAGACGTATTTCCTTCATTATTCTTTCCATTAAACGGAAACGATTAAGCATAAAAGAGGAATAACGAATAGATTTAACCATTTGTTCTAAATTAAAACGGCCAGATCTTTCTAATAATAAAATACGTCCATCACTTTCATTCACCTAGAAAATAAAAAAATTTTTTGTTAGAGGGACCCCCTCAATTTCGCTAATAATTTCCGTGGCCTATTTTGAAGCACAAACTTTTTTTAATTATTAGGAAATTTGAATTCATACTTCCTTTTATTAATTGGAATACGAAATTCTGTGTTGCCTAATTTTTGAATCCACTGCCCTAGACAGAATTTGGATCCAGAAAAAACTCAGTAAGCTCAGAAATGCTTATGCATGGTTACAGGAAAGGCCTTTACTCAAACCAACTCGATTTCTATAAATTGAGAGCTCTGGATTATGATTGCACATTTATTCAAATAGCATTTTTGTGACGATCTGGTCAAATCAATCCCGTTAGGGAACATTTAAATATAATCCGTATCAGATTCAGATTATCGAAAAGTTTTAAAAATTTGTGGTCTAAAACAGGTTTAAAGACAGAAAAAGCGAAATTCGAGGTGTTCCCTTCCTCTCAAACCGGTCCAAGTATTTCCATTGGAGCGTATTCTTCAGCCATTTCATCTAATCCATTTGATCCATTAAAGTTCTCAATGAAATCCAAACCAATAATCTTGAAATTTGAATTTTTTTAAATTTTTCTTTTCCTCGTTTACCTTCCTAATGTTTAAATGTCTAATAAATTTTAAAATAGCCAGGTCAACATCACCCTTGTAAGCATACACCCAACGAAGCAAGTCAAAATCAGTTACTGATTTAATTGTCTTAAAAATAAATTATTGATAAGGAACGGCGTTTTGCCCTTCACGGATTTATGAAGTTAAGGAGTTAATCTGAGAGCTTAGCCGACTTAAGGTTATTGTTATTCAATCAAATATCCAACTATTAAGGCTTTATTTTATGCTACTCCAATTTTTGAGTTACAATAGAGTTTAAACCGGATCCGGATATTCGGTCTCCGGTAGAGAAAACTTCAAAAGCCTTAATAAAATTTCCTAGCTAAATTTGATTTTTTGATTTAGAACATTAAGCTTAACGAGTTTAGGAAAGGACCCTAATTTTTAAATTTGACAGGAAGAACAGTGAAGAAAATACATGGGAGGAAGAAAGAGGACAATAAAATTAGAAGTGTAAGCCCCTTATAGCCCAATGGCGGAGCACCTGTACTGGGTGATCGAAAGCCTCTAGGAATACGTGCCAACTGGTCTCAGGGTCGATGCCTGCCTGGAGCTACACTTATACCTCCTTCTCTCTCTCCCTTACTTACCTTTGCCTCTACAAATTTCGGATGTGAACGTATTTGTGTAATAAACTTTTTATCCTCCTCATTAGTTAAATTTTCACTTGATGAACTTGACATCTTTTCAAAATTCAAAAAAAAATTTCTTTGATCAATTAAAGTCAGAAAATGTAAAAATATGTTCGTATCATTTTCTAAATAACGGGAACAAGATTGTCAAATTAAAAATAAATTTATTTATTACTGGAAAGAAAAGCTTTCTTTTTAAAATATTTTTACTGATCCGTATATTAGATTAAAAATAAAAATTTATTAATTCATTAAATTTTCTTTTATAAAAAGTATCTTTTTCCTGGAGGAAAACGAGTCTTTTTCTATTAAATAAGAGCTTGATATCTCGTTTCGATCCAGTCTCTAGAAGACTATGATTTTATTTGCAATCAAGGCTAGTGTCGGAGGTCAGAGATCAAAAATGAAAGAATCGGATCGGAAAATGTTAAATGTAGCTTAGAAAAAAAACTTGGTTAATTTAAAATTTTCACAAGTTCATAAAAAATAATTTATTTAAAATTTTAAAACAAAATTAGTCAAAAAAATCATAAATCGAACAGAATTCTCAATAAAATTCTTTAAGAACTGAATGTTCAAAGATGTCGTATTTAAATGGTTTAGTCTTCAAATCATTTCCAAAGTTTGTTTCGATTGAATAACACTTCGAATCAACATTTGGTTGATATGAATCAAAATTGTCTAATAATATTGCTTTGCCTTTAAAAACAATTTATAAAATTTAGTTTTTAAATTAAATATTTACCAATTTGTTCTCCATTTCGTGTAAAGAAAATATAAGGAAATCTATTTAATTTATTAGCTGGAGGATAAACTAATCCACAACCAAAAATATCGTTATTATTGAAAGATGTTGAAAGATTAAATTCTTTATCTTTATAGAAAATTTTAGCAAAATGTGGAGCATAATATATAGTATATTTATTTGTGCTATAATTTTTAAAACCAATAGCCACCAATTTATTTCCTTTATTTAACTCTCCCTCGATTTTACATTTAATTTCAAAATAATGTAAAGAATAATTAAGACAGTTTTGTGGGTTGTAGAATGCATTTTCTGCATAAACAACAACATATTTATTACAACCTTAAAATATTGTCAAAATTCAAAAATTCTTTGATTTACCTTCTTTCCCCAAAATATATTTAATATTTTCATTATCAATTATGTTACCAAATCCATTTCCCTCAATACAATTACCAATAGGTTTTAATGAATTTATACATAAATTGGAACAACATATACCATAAATTTCACTCCATTTATTTTTAAGTTGAATAAACTCCTTAAAAATTATTAAAATTTAATATAAACTAAATATAAAATATAAAACTAACCACTAAATTCGAATTATTTGCTTTAATTAAATCACCAATCTTTTTGTCCATCAAATCATCCACCTTTAACAGAATAAAATTTAAATAAGAAATATTTTTATATTTATATCAGTATTTGAGAGCAGCAGGTGCTTAAATGTTTAAAATAAAAATTTATATCGCGGCGCGAATAAAAGTCAGAGAAACAATTGCTGATAAAAAGAGGGAAAAAGGGCCTTGCTAAAAGTAGCCAAGATAAAAAGGTTCGAAATTGTCAATATAAACTAGAGCCCGGCTCGATACGATATTTTTCGATATTTTTTTTCGATATTTATCGAAAAATATCGACCGAGAAAATTTTGAGTTTTTCGATATTTTTCGATATAGAATTTAAATATCGAGAATATCGACCGACCAAATAAAAATTATCGAAAAAAATATCGAACGTCATTTTTGACTAAAATTTGAATTTTTGGCGCCAAAAAGGATGAATTTTGGCCTCCCGACCATCATAAATTCAAAAAATTTTCGCCTGCGGCGCTGAAAATGAAGAATTTTGCAACTTGACCTTCCAAGATTCTCATAAGATTGTTAGATATCCTTTCTTATCCCCTTAATACATCATATTCCATCAATATCCCTACAAAACACTGATATGAATTAAGAAAATTTTGGTAGATTAAGGGAGATTTCAGTAGATTAAGAGTAATTTTATGGGACATCCGAAGGTTTGTTGGGATATTTGAGATATCCAAGGATCATGACGGATATAGTGGATATCCGGGGTAATCAACTATTTGTATAACTAATAGAGGATTAAGTGGATAAAATGGATCTCGAGGGATCAAGACTGATATTTGCCTGAGATGGATATCAAAACGGATACCAAATGAAAGATTTTTTATCCCCCTATATCCCCCTTGATCCAGAAATCCCTTGATATCCCTCCTGATCTCACAAATCCACAATACCCGTCTTACTACTTCTTTATCTCTTGTTACACACTCAGTCCATTATCCCTCGCTAGAATCCGCTTATATCTCACTTGATCCTTCAATATCAAATACAAGCCCTTGATATTCAATCTAATCCGTCCAATCCACCAATATCCCATTTAATCAACTACTTGGTCTATTCTGTTATTCATTGGTTATAAAAATTTTTTGAAAAATCTTTCTTCCTCGATGATACTCAATTTTCCCTGTGGCATGTGCAATGAGAAAAATTAATACAGAAAAGATCAATTTTTTCCATTTTCACCAAAATAGAAGTTAACGGGGGTCTTCAGGAGTCTGTATTTCGGTCCAATCAAGTCGGATTTTGCTGATTTTGGTGTCATTTGACACAGCTCGATGTGTTCTACAATTGTTGTTCAGACTAACAATTTTTACATATTTTTCGAAAAAACTGACTGGGGGTGGGAAGTAAATAAGTACCAATATTGATTCAAATGTTAACTTCTATTTTGGTGAAAATGGAAAAAATTGATATTTTCTTTATTAATTTCTTACATTGCACATGCCACAGGGCAAATTGAGAAACATCGAGGAAGAAAGAAAGGCTGACCTTTCTGAACAAATTAAGTTTGATTGATGGCCTTCTTGCGAATAAATGGGGCTGAGAAAATATCTCGGTCCTTAATAATGAGTTAATATTTAAAAATACTAAATTACCTTTATAATTTCTTCTTCCAATAGATTAATTTTCTCATTTTTTTGATCATTTTCTGTTTTTAATTGTTCTATACTCCCTTTCATTTCTTTAATTTCATTTTTATGGTCAATATTTATTTTTTGAATTTTCTAAAAGTAAATTTAATTATATTAAGTTTTGAACAATGTCGCTGTTTGACTTTTTCATTTCATCTATTTTCGAAATGAGACAAATAAGATTTTAAGATTAAACGAAATGATAAAGATATACTACAATTAAAAATAAGACTTTTGTGAAAAATCAACAAATATGTACTTCTCACTGTCAATGAAAAGCCAAAAAATAATTTAAAATTAATTATTTACCGTTTCAACTTCTTTTTCCAAAGAAAATATTTTTTCGTCTTTTTGTTTCAAATAAACATCATTTTCAGCTTTAACAGTTTTGAGTTCTTTCTCTAAACAATTTATTTTCTCCTCTTTTTGATCATTTTGAATTTTTAACTGTTGAAATTTTTCTTCAATTAATTTTTGGAAATCTTCAATTTTATTTTCACTGTCACAGTTTATTTTTTGAATTTTCTAAATTATGTGTTTCAATTTTATAAAATATTTAACTGTGTTTAATATGTACATATATCTTTTTTAAGGCTTTTTCATTTCATTTAAACAAAATTTTCGGTCGAAAATAGAAAATAAATTTTGCTCAGGGATTTTTTTGAAATTATATTTTTCATAAAAATTGATAATTTTTCAGACATTTATTTAAAAACACATTTTTTGATAAAAGTTATGCTGCGTAATTTCCAACCAATTCGAATAATTCCCGAATCATTCGAAGTCTCTCTAAAACTTTTACAAAAAATTTCAGCTTAAATTTGACTTTTCTGTCATTTGGATGTGGTTAGCTTTGGATTTTTTTAAAAAAACTAATTTAAATAATTTTTATTTACATTTTTAATTTCTTCTTCCAATAAATTAATTTTTTCATCCTTTTGCTTTAAATAAGCATCATTTTCAACTTTTAATTGCTTAATATTTTCCTCAATTAAATTTTTAAAATATTCACTCATCTTTTTAATTTCATTTTCATGTTCAGAATTTATTTTTTGGATTTTCTAAATTTAATATTAAAAAATATCGGGAAATGAATAAAACTTGCATTTTGAAATTTCAAGCTGCAATTTTCTAAAGCTAGATCATTATTTTTCAATTTCAACTAAAATATAGTAAATAAATTTCTAAACTCAATTGTGTCTCACTTGTACACCACCATCGTTCATAAATATAGAGGTAAAGTAAGAATGCCTTACAAGGCCGGGTTGGAGCCCGAGGAGGTCGGAATTCCGATTTCTGACGTTTTTTTCTTCCCGATTTCCGAAAAAAAATTTGATTTACGATTTCCGGCTTTTGAGCCAGTTCCAATTTCCGGCTCTTCCAATTTCCGACACCTCTGACTGTTCCGACCCGCCTCAAGTTAGAGCTCACTATTGTTTTTCTTTCGAAAAGACAATTTGTATTTATGTAATAGGGAATGAACTTAAATAAGGTGTCATACACTCGAGACCGCCACTAGTAATTCAACCAAAAAATTCTTATCACCTCTAATTTCTCCTGACGTTGCTTTAAACTTTCAATTATATTTTTTGCTAAACAACAAGAATCACAAGAAGTTGACAACCCACAAATACTGGATGTTTCCAAATTACTTTTTTCTGTAAAAACTTCTAGTTCTTCTTCAACAAGTGTTTCATCCTCAATTTTATTTAAATCATCCTTAATATTGGACATTTCTTCAAATTCTTTTAATGTTCTCATAAGATTTATTTTTAACAATAATCTGAAAATTAATTTAAACTTTTATTTGGCAATACATACAAATTTTTCTTATTTTGTCTCAAATTTACTAGACAAAAATGTCTGTTTCTCTAAACCCAGATTTCAAAGCAGTAAATATTTTTGAATAAGGTTTTTGGATTCTAGGCCACCATCAAAAAATTTTATTTGTAAAGTAAATCAATCAAAAATGATTAAATTCACTTAAAATATTCACAAGGGTAAAAAGGAGAGAAACAAAAAATTCAAAACTTATAAAATAATTTAAATATGTATCAACTTTTCACTAAAAGAAATTCAGAGAAATAATTTTGGCATCAAAGAAAAAATGAAAACAAAGTTTAAAAAATTTATTCGAATTTTCGATCTCTCGAGTTTATATAAATTGCTACCCGCTTTAATAAATATAAAATAAAAATCAGCCCGATTGATTTGATGGAAGTTAAGAAATTCGAAAATTTAGTGTGTGTTCGAAAATTTAGTGTGTGTTAGTAGTGTATAGGGGGAATGAATAAGAAATTAAATAATTTATTCATTTATATATTGAAGGATTTTTTGCCCAGGGACTGTTTTTGGGGAATACATATTTGTCTGTTGAGAAAAGAGTGATAGAAAAAGGATTAAGTTTTATTTGATGAGGGAATATTTTAAATTTAAAAAATACAAACAAATTAATTCTTAATAATTTTTATGTTTTAAATAAATAATGAAGACCTACACTTCGTAGATCTACACGACCTATGACCCTGAAAACCTACAACCTTCTGATTTATTTATCCTTTTATTTCTTTACAAGTTTAATCAGTGTTCTGAAGGGATTAAAGGAGCTAATGAGGGATTTAGCGTGAATAAAATGGATATCGGTGGATTTGGAGAATTATCGAGGGATTAATGAGGATATCCGTAGGTATTTTCTTCTGAATAATAGGTTTTGGGGGTGCAGTGACCGATTTTAGTAATTATCTTTATTTAGATCGTATCCCATCATATCCCTCATAATTCCGCTAAATCCTCAATGCTTCTCTCATTCCCTAAATCCTTCAATATCTTTTTCCAAGATAATCTTTTTCTAAAATATTACAAATATCAATGGTAAATAATAGTCATGTACAAAATTTTGAATTGTGCCCAAAAATAATAAATTTAGAAAAATAATTTATTTAATTTAATTTAAAAAATAATTTAATTTACAAAATAAATAAAATTGTTTAAAATTGCTAAAACTGAATAAATTTAAAATTAAGTAAAACAAATTTTGTCAAAATTATTTAAGAATCAAATGGTCTGAGATATCGTATTTAAATGGTTTTTCCTCCAAATCATTTCCAAAATTAGCTTCAACAGAATGAGATTTTAGCCAAACAAATGGTTTGTATGATTCCGAATTGTCCTTTAAAAATATCTCTTCACCTTTAAAAATATTAATTTTTGTAAAAATAAATTTTTAAATTAAATATATTTGCCAATTTCTTTTCCATTTTGAGTAAAGAAAACATAAGGAAATTTATCCGTCATGTTACTTGGAGGATAAACTAATCCACACCCAAAATAATCATTATTCTTCCAATATATTTTAACATTAAATGCTTCGTCTTTCTCATTATAAATTTTATTATTATTTGCATAATAATAAATATATTTATTTGTATTTAAATTTTTCAAACCAATATTCATCCAAACTGAACTCTTTTCTCTTTCAAATTTACATTTAACTTCAAAATAATATAAAGAATAATTGAAGGAATTTTGTGGGGCTTTAAATGAATTTTCAGCATAAACAGTAATATATTGATCAAAACCTTTAAATATTTACAAAAATTCAGAAATTTAATTAATTTACACCAACATTTCCCCTCCAAACAATTAATATACTTAATATTTTCATCATCAATTATATTTCCATATCCATATCCTTTAACACAATTACCATCAGGATTTTCTGTATTTATACAATTATTGGTACAACACATACTGTATCCACTATCAATTTCTTTCCATTTATTTTTAATTTCAACAAAATTCTGAAAAAATATATTTTATTTTATTTATTATGGGAGGCGTAAAATTAACAAAATTAATAAACTTTTGGAATTATTTATTCTCATTTAAAATCTCCCAAATTTTTTAAATTATTTTTAGAATTTCTTAAATTAATTTTTCCGAATATAAAAATGGTTAATTACAAATTTGGTCGTTGTACTGTTTGCCTGAAAAGTTTGTTTCGTGAAAATGTTTATACTTTGATAAACTGTAATCATTTATTCCATCAAAAATGTGCTGCTAAATGGATTTCTGAAGAGGTCAATTTAATTAATGATTTGTCAATTTAATTAATGGTGAATTAATTTTATATATTAATTATGGGACGGAGAAAGAAGGTAAATTATTTTTGAAATATTTAAAAAATATTCTTAGATTCTGATAAAATTGTTGCTGTTTATGCAGAAAATTCATTTAATAAGCCACAAAATTATTTAAATTATTGTTTATATTATTTTGAATGTAAAGTTGAAGGAGGGCTATTATATAATGCCAATCTATGGATGTTTATTGGGCTTAAAAATTGTAATACAAATAAATATATTTTATATTCTGCAAAAGATTCTGTAATTACAAATGAGGAAGAAGAATCATTTAAGGTTGGTTAGGGTCATAAGGGCAAGGGCCATTTGGGCGCCAGCACTAGAAACTGGCACTTAAGCGAAACCGAAATTTATGAAAATTTTCTCAAATTTCTTTAACATCCTTGACTACCTCCTCCGGAAATTTCAGATTTTTTCATCGAATATTTCTGAAGTTATAGTCGATAGACCTCGAAAAATTAGGCAGTTTTCGTAAAAACAACATTTTTGGCCATAATTTCTGAAATTCAAAATTCTGTAATTTTTGGGAAACTTTGACAAAGTACGAAAGTTATTATTGCATAATTTTATCTTTTTTGATAAGCAACTTACCGTTTTATAAGCTCGCGCCCAAATGGCCCGCGCCCTTATGACAAAATTTCCTTTAAGGTAGACAATACTACTTTCTATGATGACGATATTTTTGGGTGCGGATTAGTTTATCCTCCAACAAATAAATTAAATGAAGAAGAATTATCTTATGTTTTCTTTACACAAAATGGAAAACAAATTGGTAAATATTTACTAATTAAAATTACTTTATAGAAAATATTTTTTAGGTAAAGCTATTTTATTAGTGGACAATTTTAAATCATATAAGCCAGTTGTTGAACAAAATTGTTATTCGGTAGAAGCTAATTTTGGGAATGATTTGGAGTTGAAACCATTCAGCTATGACATTTCAAAACATTCAATCCTCAAAGAATTTTATTAAAATTTTCTTGATACTTTTGATACTTTTTACAAATTATAACTAATTTTTTAAGTTAAAATGGTATAAAAATTAATGTTAGATAAACTTTGCCATTATGAGCAGCGCAAACTTTTTTAATCCATTTAAATCCTCTTATATCCATGATTTAAGAATTAAAAAGAAGATCGAGGGAATTAGAAAGTTTGATTAAGGCATTGCAATTAGGTATTTACACAAGGCTTTTTTGGCAAATCGAAATAGATCTCACATCAGTACAGTTACCCCTGATACATATTCCGTTGAAACAACTATTCCACGTATTATTCAATTTTAAAAAAAAAGGGAAAGAATTTTTATAAATTTATTTTTAATAAAATTTTGAATTTTTTAAAGTAAAACAAGAAAATATTTTTGTATCTTTTAATTTAAAAATTTTTTTTCTAAAAATTTCTAATTTTTGCAAACAAATCAAATATTCTCAACATTACCACTTCCAATTATAATATTAGAACGTGATGCTGGCGACGATGATATTGATGATTGCTGCTCTTCTGAAAAATAAAATTTTTAAATTTTCTTTTAAATCTTCAAAATCAATACAGAAACTACCTTACAAGATAACCTCTTAATGTTGAAAAATCGCCCCCTATAATGAGGGGTATCTTAAATAGGAGGGATAGACAATGAAATGTTTAAAGGTTATCCCAGTGACTAAACAAATTCTTAAAAACGATTAAGAAGTATCTAATACAACGGAAGTATTCAATAAATGGTATTCAATGATCTATTAATATAGAGGTTCGACACCGACTTTTACGTCGTCGCCGATTTTGTTTTTCCAATTCGCCAAGTTTTGTTTTATTTTCACTAAATATGCTGTGTAATTCACGCATTCTTTGTTCAATAAGTTTGACTTGTTGGTCAGGGTCTTCACTACAATTTTCCAGCATTTCATCTTAAAAGTTAAAATTATTCGTTTGTTTATTTCCAAGTGTATGATCCTTAAAAATTTCCGTTTTTGCCCATCAACAAAATATCACTAAAAAAAGCTTCCCTCTCTGGGTCTAAACCAAATAACAGAACAAAATAGATCTCTGATACAAGTGATAAAAAATGACACTGATATCAGTACCAGTCCCTGCCTTGTTGTTAAAAGGTAGCGAGGAAATGAGAAATTAAAAACACTACGAAATTCGAAGAAACTTGGAAATCCATCCCCTAACCAGTCCTCCAACTATTATTTTAGTACATAAAGGTGTAAACAAAAATTAAAAAACACCTAAATTAGGCAATCCAACAAAATCATCATTATCAAATAAATGTTCTGATTCCATTTTGTGAAGTAAACGTTGTCGTAAACAATGAAGACTTTCACTGTGAATACCTTTAAAAGAAAGGACTTTTTTTCACTTTTTTTTTCAAAAAAACCTTCAAATGTATTCTCTTCTTCATCATCCGAAGTTGCTTCATTTGTCCCAACAAGTGGAGACCGTGTAGGTGATGCAAAATTGCTCAACAAAGTAGCAGAAGAATTTGTTGGTCTGACAGGGGATTTTAAGTGATTTCTAAAAAATTAAAATTTTTTTTTGAAAATTAAAAAAAAATATTTAAAAAAAATTTGGCAAAAAATTAAAAAAAATTCTGAAAATCAAAAAAATTTTATTTACTTTGCCAATTTATTAGGCGGAGGACTCATAGCACCAGCAATAATAGATTCTCCACTTTTTCGCTTCTTTGGTGCCCATGGTGGTTGAATTTGTAACGCATTAGAATTTTTTGGAGGTGTAACATCAAGTGAGATAGAAGTACATTCATTAATTGGTAAAGTAATTTTGGCTGCAAAAAAATTTAAAAAATTATTTTTAAAAAATTTTTGAAATTAAAAAAAATTCTCGATGAACTTTAAAATTTTTTTTTGAAAAGAAAATTTCAAAAAAATTTCAAATTTTTCGAAATAATTTTAAATTTTTGAAAACTATTTCTTAAAAAATTTTTTCTAGGTCCCCCTCACCTCTATCCTCAACCGAATCCTTCTCAAACTCGAAATCGCCATAAACATTTTCCTCTTCTTTAATTTTGAAAATAGGAGGTTCTGGCGGTGGCGATAAACGGAATACACTATTGTCTTCCCCTTGAACATGTCCAAAATATTGTTGTTGAATCTTAAAATTTTTAATAATTAATTTAAATTTAAAAAATAAATTTACATATATTTTTCTTTTTTTATTTAATTTTGGACTTGGAGAGAGTACCTTGTTAAAATAATTACGAACAGCGCTCCACATATTTAAATATAAATTTTTAAATATGAACCTTGAATTCTAAATAAAATTATAAACAAGAAGCCGCTAATTCACATAAAATGAAATTAAATATTTGGAATAACCATTTAATACAGTCGAATCTAGATATCATATCAATGTGGTCCAAAGGGTGTCTTATCAAGATTTGACTGTATTTCACTACGAAGAAAGCTTAGCCAGAAGAAAATGATTTATCACTAATTTAAGTTTAATTCAATGGAAATTATCCTAAAAAGTCGCGCTAAAGGTAAACAAGAAGCACTTAAGGAATGATCGAGATTTGTAAAAATCTAGATTCCCAATAATCAAGATTTTCGAACAAAATCTCGTATTCGAAATAAGTCTATGTCCAATGGGTATCAGTGGATATCAGCAGGGATCTAACCGAGTCCCTTTTCCTGAAAATCGGGAATTTATTTTTTCACGTCTCGATTAGATCCCTTTTACATCAAATACAAAATTTTATAAAAACCAAAAAAATATTTACAGTAAAGGATGTCTCAGGCTTTACTTCCTCCTCTAAAATTGTTGTTTGTTGAGGAGTTAAATTTAATAATAATTGTTGTGGTTCAACTAGTAAACCTTTCTCCCCTATTAATGAAGAGGAGGAAGAAGAAATTATTTCAACATTAACACTGGCTTTGTTATCATCAACCAAAAATTGTTGTTGAAGTTTTTGTTGGGGATTGTTATCAGTTTGTTGTGGGACAATTTGTTGTTGTTGAAGGAAGCAATTAGTAGTAGAAGTTGTTGTTGTAGTAGAGAGGGAAGAATTAGTTAGAGTAATTGGTGAAGAAGTAGTAGTTGTTGTTGCTGCGGGAAGAAAAGTTGTTGTTACAGGGCAAGTCGTCACATTGGAATAAACCTATTTTTAAAATCAAAAAAAGTTATTAGAATTTTTAAAAAATTATTCAAAGGGCCAACATTCTTATCTTAATTCATTTACCCAATATTATATTTTTAATTAAGAGAAGAAGTTAAAAATAAAAACCTTTATATTGGAAAGCAAATGAATTTTTGTAGGCGATGAAGTGAATGTTTTGACTTTTGTAACTATAGGAGTAATATTTTTAGGCGCTAAATGATGCTTTTGGCGATTTTTATCGTTTTCTTCTTCAACTTTTTCCTCATCTTTTTTAACAATAATATCATCATTATGAGATTGTTCAACGTTTAAGCTTATTTGATTATTTGGAGTTAAGCAAATTGTTGTTGTTGTACACGTAGTAGATGGTGCCTCAGAAACTGTGGATGAAACAACAGGCTGAAATATTTTTATTTTGTTAAAAAAATTTTTAAATTAAAGAAGGCAAAATTTCCTTTAAGGTAGACAATACTACTTTCTATGATGACGATATTTTTGGGTGCGGATTAGTTTATCCTCCAACAAATAAATTAAATGAAGAAGAATTATCTTATGTTTTCTTTACACAAAATGGAAAACAAATTGGTAAATATTTACTAATTAAAATTACTTTATAGAAAATATTTTTTAGGTAAAGCTATTTTATTAGTGGACAATTTTAAATCATATAAGCCAGTTGTTGAACAAAATTGTTATTCGGTAGAAGCTAATTTTGGGAATGATTTGGAGTTGAAACCATTCAGCTATGACATTTCAAAACATTCAATCCTCAAAGAATTTTATTAAAATTTTCTTGATACTTTTGATACTTTTTACAAATTATAACTAATTTTTTAAGTTAAAATGGTATAAAAATTAATGTTAGATAAACTTTGCCATTATGAGCAGCGCAAACTTTTTTAATCCATTTAAATCCTCTTATATCCATGATTTAAGAATTAAAAAGAAGATCGAGGGAATTAGAAAGTTTGATTAAGGCATTGCAATTAGGTATTTACACAAGGCTTTTTTGGCAAATCGAAATAGATCTCACATCAGTACAGTTACCCCTGATACATATTCCGTTGAAACAACTATTCCACGTATTATTCAATTTTAAAAAAAAAGGGAAAGAATTTTTATAAATTTATTTTTAATAAAATTTTGAATTTTTTAAAGTAAAACAAGAAAATATTTTTGTATCTTTTAATTTAAAAATTTTTTTTCTAAAAATTTCTAATTTTTGCAAACAAATCAAATATTCTCAACATTACCACTTCCAATTATAATATTAGAACGTGATGCTGGCGACGATGATATTGATGATTGCTGCTCTTCTGAAAAATAAAATTTTTAAATTTTCTTTTAAATCTTCAAAATCAATACAGAAACTACCTTACAAGATAACCTCTTAATGTTGAAAAATCGCCCCCTATAATGAGGGGTATCTTAAATAGGAGGGATAGACAATGAAATGTTTAAAGGTTATCCCAGTGACTAAACAAATTCTTAAAAACGATTAAGAAGTATCTAATACAACGGAAGTATTCAATAAATGGTATTCAATGATCTATTAATATAGAGGTTCGACACCGACTTTTACGTCGTCGCCGATTTTGTTTTTCCAATTCGCCAAGTTTTGTTTTATTTTCACTAAATATGCTGTGTAATTCACGCATTCTTTGTTCAATAAGTTTGACTTGTTGGTCAGGGTCTTCACTACAATTTTCCAGCATTTCATCTTAAAAGTTAAAATTATTCGTTTGTTTATTTCCAAGTGTATGATCCTTAAAAATTTCCGTTTTTGCCCATCAACAAAATATCACTAAAAAAAGCTTCCCTCTCTGGGTCTAAACCAAATAACAGAACAAAATAGATCTCTGATACAAGTGATAAAAAATGACACTGATATCAGTACCAGTCCCTGCCTTGTTGTTAAAAGGTAGCGAGGAAATGAGAAATTAAAAACACTACGAAATTCGAAGAAACTTGGAAATCCATCCCCTAACCAGTCCTCCAACTATTATTTTAGTACATAAAGGTGTAAACAAAAATTAAAAAACACCTAAATTAGGCAATCCAACAAAATCATCATTATCAAATAAATGTTCTGATTCCATTTTGTGAAGTAAACGTTGTCGTAAACAATGAAGACTTTCACTGTGAATACCTTTAAAAGAAAGGACTTTTTTTCACTTTTTTTTTCAAAAAAACCTTCAAATGTATTCTCTTCTTCATCATCCGAAGTTGCTTCATTTGTCCCAACAAGTGGAGACCGTGTAGGTGATGCAAAATTGCTCAACAAAGTAGCAGAAGAATTTGTTGGTCTGACAGGGGATTTTAAGTGATTTCTAAAAAATTAAAATTTTTTTTTGAAAATTAAAAAAAAATATTTAAAAAAAATTTGGCAAAAAATTAAAAAAAATTCTGAAAATCAAAAAAATTTTATTTACTTTGCCAATTTATTAGGCGGAGGACTCATAGCACCAGCAATAATAGATTCTCCACTTTTTCGCTTCTTTGGTGCCCATGGTGGTTGAATTTGTAACGCATTAGAATTTTTTGGAGGTGTAACATCAAGTGAGATAGAAGTACATTCATTAATTGGTAAAGTAATTTTGGCTGCAAAAAAATTTAAAAAATTATTTTTAAAAAATTTTTGAAATTAAAAAAAATTCTCGATGAACTTTAAAATTTTTTTTTGAAAAGAAAATTTCAAAAAAATTTCAAATTTTTCGAAATAATTTTAAATTTTTGAAAACTATTTCTTAAAAAATTTTTTCTAGGTCCCCCTCACCTCTATCCTCAACCGAATCCTTCTCAAACTCGAAATCGCCATAAACATTTTCCTCTTCTTTAATTTTGAAAATAGGAGGTTCTGGCGGTGGCGATAAACGGAATACACTATTGTCTTCCCCTTGAACATGTCCAAAATATTGTTGTTGAATCTTAAAATTTTTAATAATTAATTTAAATTTAAAAAATAAATTTACATATATTTTTCTTTTTTTATTTAATTTTGGACTTGGAGAGAGTACCTTGTTAAAATAATTACGAACAGCGCTCCACATATTTAAATATAAATTTTTAAATATGAACCTTGAATTCTAAATAAAATTATAAACAAGAAGCCGCTAATTCACATAAAATGAAATTAAATATTTGGAATAACCATTTAATACAGTCGAATCTAGATATCATATCAATGTGGTCCAAAGGGTGTCTTATCAAGATTTGACTGTATTTCACTACGAAGAAAGCTTAGCCAGAAGAAAATGATTTATCACTAATTTAAGTTTAATTCAATGGAAATTATCCTAAAAAGTCGCGCTAAAGGTAAACAAGAAGCACTTAAGGAATGATCGAGATTTGTAAAAATCTAGATTCCCAATAATCAAGATTTTCGAACAAAATCTCGTATTCGAAATAAGTCTATGTCCAATGGGTATCAGTGGATATCAGCAGGGATCTAACCGAGTCCCTTTTCCTGAAAATCGGGAATTTATTTTTTCACGTCTCGATTAGATCCCTTTTACATCAAATACAAAATTTTATAAAAACCAAAAAAATATTTACAGTAAAGGATGTCTCAGGCTTTACTTCCTCCTCTAAAATTGTTGTTTGTTGAGGAGTTAAATTTAATAATAATTGTTGTGGTTCAACTAGTAAACCTTTCTCCCCTATTAATGAAGAGGAGGAAGAAGAAATTATTTCAACATTAACACTGGCTTTGTTATCATCAACCAAAAATTGTTGTTGAAGTTTTTGTTGGGGATTGTTATCAGTTTGTTGTGGGACAATTTGTTGTTGTTGAAGGAAGCAATTAGTAGTAGAAGTTGTTGTTGTAGTAGAGAGGGAAGAATTAGTTAGAGTAATTGGTGAAGAAGTAGTAGTTGTTGTTGCTGCGGGAAGAAAAGTTGTTGTTACAGGGCAAGTCGTCACATTGGAATAAACCTATTTTTAAAATCAAAAAAAGTTATTAGAATTTTTAAAAAATTATTCAAAGGGCCAACATTCTTATCTTAATTCATTTACCCAATATTATATTTTTAATTAAGAGAAGAAGTTAAAAATAAAAACCTTTATATTGGAAAGCAAATGAATTTTTGTAGGCGATGAAGTGAATGTTTTGACTTTTGTAACTATAGGAGTAATATTTTTAGGCGCTAAATGATGCTTTTGGCGATTTTTATCGTTTTCTTCTTCAACTTTTTCCTCATCTTTTTTAACAATAATATCATCATTATGAGATTGTTCAACGTTTAAGCTTATTTGATTATTTGGAGTTAAGCAAATTGTTGTTGTTGTACACGTAGTAGATGGTGCCTCAGAAACTGTGGATGAAACAACAGGCTGAAATATTTTTATTTTGTTAAAAAAATTTTTAAATTAAAGAAGGGAATAGAAATTCGACCTAAATCGTTTTGGGGTTTATTTTCTAAACTTTTTCAAACAGAAAAATAGCTTTCACGGTAGTCCCCTAGATATTTGAGCTTGAGTGGGGTTGTCGGTTCGTAACCGAACTGAAAAACTGTAAAGCATTTGAGTCTTTGGTTAGATTCTTTAGTCCGACTCATAATCAGAAAATCCGAAGTTTACAAGAACCGACAACTTACAAGCTTAAATGACCAAAAACACGAGAAACTTGAATAATTGGAAAGTTACTCATTTTTTCAATTTCTTATTGCGATTACCAATAGAAAAATTAAATTAATAATTATACCAAATGTGGAATAGTAAATTTTCCAAGTGAATGCGACGCCGGAAGTGGAGCTATGAATGTCACATCATTAGAGGAAGAGGAGGATGAAGAAGAAGGAGGAGGAGCGTGATGATTCGCCTATTAATTATGATAAAATTACAGAAAGAACCTCTAAAAACAAACAAAAGGATTCAAAGGACTTCTATAATCCATTGTAGAAGATGTAGAGGTAGAACAACTTGTACTTTGCCTTCTAGGCACTATTTGTATATTATTGACACAATCTGCAACAGAAGAAACGGTTGTTGTTGTTACTTTGGCTAGTGCTGATGAAGAAAGGCGGCGAGGACGTTGTTCGGAAGATTGGGCACTTAAAATAAAATTTTAAGAAATAAATAAAAAACGATCCGACAACAATAAATTAAAAAACCTTGGCAGTAAAGCAAGCGAAGGAATTCCTTCTGGACTAGCACACCAATCCAATGCTGCTGCAAGTAATTGAGGCGGCAAATTATTACTGCCACCAGATTTAATTAAATGATTTTCTACTTGTTGGGCACTTAAACGTTCATCCTTTTCATCAACACGAATTTTGTGAAGCATAAGCCATTCCTATAAAAAAATTTTTAAACAATTTTCAAATCAAAACCAAACATCATATCGAGAATTCCATCCCAAATAGTGAACAAAAATTTTTGTAGAATTTAACAAATTGCGCAAAGCATCTTTCAATTCAGGTCCCATATTCTTTAAAAAAATTTTGAAAACAAAATTTAATTTAAAAAATACTTCAAGTGAAAGTGTTGAAATTTCAGGTGAACCTTGATGTGTAATAAGGGAGAGAGCAAAAGCATTGTTTAAAGTCCTTGCAATGTCAGCAAGTGAAGGCTGTTTGACGGTAATTACTCGGGCATCGTAGAAACGTAAATGGTGACGAGCTTGAAAAGAAAAAATTAGAAAATTAAATACAAAAGAGAATCAAAATTAGGTAAAAAATAAAGAAAAAATCACCAAAAGGAATAATCAGAAATGGAAAAAATATGAAAACAAAATTTCAAAATATACAAACAATTGGCAAAATCAACAAAAACAAAATATCAAAAAAAAGGAAAAAGATATAAAATGGGAGAGTTAGAAGAATGAAAACAAGAAAAAGCATAAATCAGAATAAAGAAAAATAAAAATTTTGAAAAAAATAAGAAAATATTCAAAATAAAACGAACAGAAAATACAAAAAAATCAGAAATCAAAATAAATCAAAAACATAAAAATCAGAATTTAAAAGGACAGAAGAGAATTACAGGAAAAGCAAAAACATCAAAGAAAATAATAAAAAATTCAAAATTACAAAGAGAAACAAAAACAGAATTAAAAGGACAAAAATCAGAAAAAAATAAGAACTTAAGAAGCAAAAAGAAAAACAGAATTAAAAGACAACCTAAAAACGACAACACAGAACAAAAATAATTTAAAAAATTAAAACTACTTACCACTAACTTTCTGCCCTTGATAAAAACGAGTAAAAATATGTGCATTAGAATAACCAATTTCATTTTCATTTTGTGGTTTATTTATTTGTTGTTGAAATATTGAATGTTTTGGTTTTCTCCCACGTTGTTGGGGGATTTTAGTAATATTTTGTTGTTGGGGAGAATTTAATATTTCTGTTTTAATTGGTGAGGAATTATTTTGTGGTGAAGTTTTTGTAATGTTTTGGGCATGTTGTTGCACTGAAATTTTGATTTTAAAATCAAAAAAGGCCAAAAATAACAAAGGGCTTATTGTTATCAATGTTTCTTACTATCTCATAAATTCATTTTGTACTTAAAATAATGGAAAGTTTAAAAAAATTTTCAGACAATTTTTGAATTTATCAATGGAAATAGATTCTTAAAATACGCATGTGGCTTTGCGCGACAGAAAACAAAAAAAGTAGGAAAAAATCGCACTCGACCTATCTCTTTTTTTCATCATTTTTTCTGAAAATCAAGAATGCGACTTTTATGAAACCCTAGCAAATAAAACTAGGTATTTCCACAAATAAAAAATATAATTAGCTGAAAATTATTTTAAAAATTTTCAAAAAAATTTCCTTCCAAAATTTTAGAATATAAATAAATTTAGGGGACAGCGAAAACTACTAGAACCTGTTAGCTTGTATAAAATTAAACCACAAAAAATATTCTACAAACCTTCACAAGCATTGCCTTCAATGCTACTTTTCTTTATAAAAAATTTAGAATTTCCTCCCGAAGTTGCAGGAATACTTGTTGATGTCACAAAAGATGAAAGAGATCTTTTTAATGTCTCTGAAGTAGTTGGTAAATTAGATTTAGTTGAAGTAACAGATTCATGAGATTTTGAAGGTTTTATTTTGTTGGTTTGATAAAAAAGTGAAGGTCTATAAAAGAAATAAATTTTTTAATTTAAATAGAAAATTTATTGATATTTTGTTTTTGTTGAAATTTTTTAAATAGAAATGTAATACTATTAACGGATTGGTTAAAATCAAGATTTGAAGGAAGGGAAAAGGAGGGAAGGATTGAGGGAAGGACCGGATTCCAAACAAAACCGAATGTGACACCATCCAAATAATTTTATTCCTTGTTTCGGTCGGGGCTTCGGTCGTAAAAAACAGTTTCCTTGTGTAACCCAGTTCATCTCTTGCACGAATAAATACTCGAATTTAATAACAAGACTCAAGACTAAAGATTCTTATGAATATTTTTTCGGAAAAAGAGACTAAATTAAAAAAATTAGACTCATGGACTAGCCAATATTTTTCTTTAAAAATTACAAAAAATACTTTTTTAATTTTCCAACAACATCAAAATGTTGTCCAATACCAGCACAAGAATTACTTCCAACAATTTTTTCTTCACTTGCAATTTTTTGTTTAATTAATGGAGACGATTTTTTATTAAATTTTGTTTTATATTTTTCAATTCCAATATTAAAAGACATTGTTCTTTTATGTTGATTTGTAGAGGTAGGTGACTCGAAATGTTGATAAGATGTAGAAGAGGAAGTTGTTGATGAAGAAAATGAAAAATGTAAAGGTTGAAGTTCTAAAGGTTCTTCAGAAGATTTTTTGGAAGATTTTGCAGAAGATTTTGTACAAACTAAAAAATATTTTTCCAAAATTTTGAATTAAAAAATAATAAAAAATCTGACTTCTTCTATTAAAAAATGTTAAAAAAGTTTCAAGGGTGTGGAGGAAAGATGAAAAAGGCGTTCTTCCCTATAACGACTACCTTCCCAATAAAATTTCTGGCAACGAGAACCGAAAGGGTCCAAAAAGATATATTCAGAAATTTTTTAAAGTGCTAATAAAATAAAGTCTTCCCAGAAAAACTCAAAAATTCTCACTTAATTTCTAACAAAATTTTATTTCCTTTCTAAATTTTTATTATTAAATATTAAAACCTGAAAAAGCAGGAGAATGATCTTTAGCTGTAGATGTTGAACGAGAACGACTTAAAGTCCCTGCACTACTTCCACCGCGGGTTGACGAAGATTTGCCTCCTCTTGACCTTTTACTTTGTTTATCTCCACTAGATTGTGAAGGTGTAGCAATAGTGCGAACAATTCGGGTATTTCTCTGACTTGTTGAAGTACTTGAAGCAGCAGCTACAATTAAACTGGAGTTTCCAAGTTTGTTCATAAAAGACTCGAATTTCTCAAAATAACTGAAAAAATAGAAAAAATGTTTAAAAATTTTTAAATAAAATTTTCGACAAAAAATAGGCTTAAAAATTAGAAATTTTAATTAGGCCAATAGAAAATAGGGAAAATTAAAAGGAAAATATTAAAGTATCAAAAAATGGTCTAAAGTTGAATTCAAAATTTTTCTTGGATTTTTTCAGTCCTGGTGTTGATTTGCACAAAGACTAGTCTACTAAACCCGACTTTTTGACAAAACCTCGATCAGAAACCTGACAATTGTGTCAAACTAGACTTTGAACAGACCAACGAACTTTTTGATCCCGACGGGGTTCAGGCTGAAACCCTCTCAAATCATAGAAAATCTTTGGTTTTGAACAAATTCGGAAAATAGTAACGACTTTAAAATTATATTTAGCCCCAAATTGAGTTTCAAAATATTTTAAGAAATAAAAAAGCACATACCGCATGTAAGTCTTCTTGACTTGTAAAGCATCAACATCTCCTTTAGATAAATCTAATTTCAATTTTTTCAAAACTTTTGCCCATTTATTTTCTTTTGTTACGCTTCGATGTCCACCCATTGATTTTACAACATTATAAAAACGATAAATGTCCACATCGTTTCCTTAATATAAAATTTTTAATTTATCGAAAAAATGGAGTTCGAAAATTGCTACTCCACCCTTGGAAATTCTAGCAAGTCTGGGGTTGTCTCATCAAAAAAATTAAAAAAATGAAAAAAATGTGGATAATCCCCTAAAATAAGTGTCTTGTATGTGATTCGAGAATCCTATCGATCAGATTCCAACAAATCGAAAATTTCCGAGTTTTAAATTATGAATTCCCTAATGTTGAGAAAAAAGTCAGATTGGGTTTTGGGTAACCCTCCCATCCCTTATGAGTAAATTGGGCTCATATCTGTGAAAATATAGGTCCAAAAATTAATTAATAGTTTAAAAACAAGTTCCTATTTAAAAACAAGTTCCCGTAAAAATAAAAAAAATAATTAACAAAAACCTCCAAGTTCAGGAGAAAGATTTTCAGGATTTCCAGATTCCTCTTGAAATTTGTAAAAATGAGCGACTAAATTAGATTTAAGTTCTTGTTGTTGTCTAATTTCTAATTCATCCTTTTCCGCTTCGTCATTTGAAGAGGAAGATGAGGAAGAGGAAATGTCTTCAAGCTCTGGAGAATTATTTTTGTTGTTTTTGTTCTTCTCGTTGTCAATATTTTTATTATTCTTTTTATTTTCACTCTTTTCTTTGTCTTTTTGTTGTAGCGATTCAGAAATCATTTTAAGAATAAGTAGATAAAGACCTTAAATTAATTTAACAATTAGAAGAAACTTAAAAAAGAATTGAGGAAGAAAAATTAGAATTAAAAGGACACGCCCGAGTAGGCGCGGCCAAGTAGGCGCGACTGAGTCACAGCGGCCGCTGTGATCCACCCTGTTGTAGAGATCGGAAGTTTGAAAAAACCGGGTTCGGGTAACTGGTTCTGAAGGGTGACCGGGAGGGACCCGGAACGGGAAAACCGGGAATTACCGTTCCCGGTTTCATCCCGGTTGCTTCAAAAACCCGGGAAAGGGGACCCGAAAACCGGGAAACGGATCCGTTCCGATCTCTAACCTGTTGACGCACGCGCGAAAACTTTTTTCCTTAAACATAACGCCAAAATTTAAAATAAATGTCTATCTAGTCTCTTTATTTTATTGCATCTCTCGTGCGTCTGACTTTTTTGTAAACAAGAGAAATGGTCAGAAGGAGACAAGTTATAAAATGGTCAGAGGGAGGAAAAATGGTCAATTCTCTCATTTGTGAGGGGAATTAGTTAAATTTTATAACTTTTGTCCTCCTATCCGATCTTTTTCAAATTTTGTATTTTGTATTCCTAAATTAGTTAAACAATCCCATAAAAAGCCCCTCCAGTAAAATGACACTTTGGAGGATGAAAAAAAATATAAAATGGCCCCTGCATTTGAATTGCCTCTCTAATAGAGAGGCACCATAATTTGCCACTAACTGTCATACCTATATTTAACCAGTTTTAAAAATAAAAATATTGATTTCCGAGTTCCGACTTTTGAGCCAGTTCTGATTTCCGGCTCTTCCGATTGACTGTTCCGACCAGGATGCCGATTTTACCCTATTTATAGGGCAATTGCCCTATTTTTGAACGTTTCGCCCTATTTTTTCCCTATTTTTTCATTTGCCATATTTTTGCCCTATTTTTACCATTTTGTAATATTTTTAGTTTTTTTGGGATTTTGTAAATAAAATGTGAAAAAATGAAGAAATTGACACTTGGAAATCAAAAATTCTTAAAATTTTCGCCTGCGGCGCTGAAAATGGAAGAAATTTTGTTATATGACCTTCCAAAATTTTCAAAAATTTCGCCTGCGGCGCTTAAATTAGCAGCTTATTATGAGAGGCCGCAAGAAAGGATCACGTACGGGATTTTACGGGATTGTCGGTTCCAAATTCGGATATCCTAATTGGTTTCGACTCCCGGTTCTTCGAGATTATTTTTTCGAATTTCGATTTAAAAGATTTTTAAAATTATTTTCATCGATATTTTCGAAATATTTTTATTCACGATCTTCAAAAAATATTTTTATTTAGAAACAACTCGATCCCTATGTGCTTAATTTAGTTAAAACTATAAAATATGCAGAGTAATGTTTTTTATTCGAGATTTTAATTAATTTCTAAATCATGCCATATTTTTTGCCCTATTTTTGACCTATTTCGCCCTATTTTTGCCACATTTTTGAGTGGCTGCGCCCTATTTTAGTGGTTTGGAATCGGTCACCCTGGGAGTAGATTAACCAAATTATTTTCTTTCAGTTTAATTTCTCTGTCCAAAGGATTCTAAGCGTTAATATGTAGACAAAGGCCACTCGAGAATACCTAAACATAATCACCAACCACCTGCAAATTGCAATTTTTAAGATCCGATTTTCGATGCTTTTTTTTATTTGAGAAGGAAAAGACTTACTTTTGATAAAAATATACTAAGTATATTTAGTTAATTTAAAACGTGTTTGAATCAAATTCATTTTTGATTAGAGCTACATATATCATCTAGATCACTTCATTAATGAAGTGTTCCATAAAATGTAGCTTATTTAATAAATGTCAAATAATACTTTTAATTCTGGATTTACATCTTCACAAATGCCAAACTACAATTTTGAAAATTTATCGGCTAAATTCCGCCTCAATTTAGGCATTTAAGCCTTCAATTCAGACCACCTCATTCCCCTAGATGTGTGTGTGTAATTCTAAAAATGAATAATTATGTATTGCTCATTTACAATTTATATTTTTTGTGTTTTGAACATAAATAATTAATGAAAATATATTTTCTAAAATTAACCAAAATTGCAAGCTTTATCTCAAGCTTTGTCGCTCTTCAAATACAATCGAACCACAAATGTTTATCACTCTCAAACCTTTCTGGGTAAATAAAAAATAAAAAACTTTTTTGGTACATTATTTGTTAATTTTTCTAAAGTTTTTGCAATTTCTAAATTTAGAAAATTATAAATTAAATAAAAAATATAAAAAATCTTTAGAGAGCATTTCACCGAAAAATGATTGAATGAAACAAAAAATTATAAATTTTATATAAAATTCCTTCTCCCTATACATATATTCTTTGTTCCATATTGCTAAAGCTTTGAAAGAACATAAACAGTGTAAGTATAAAGGAATATTGAGAGAAAAAAAATGAGATTGAGCCATCTAACAAACAGGGAAGCTCTTCAGCAAGTTCCGATACACAAACAAAACAAATCTGATTTTGTTTGTGCAACAAGACGACAAAAAAACTTTAAGGTACGGCTCTATTGGAGAAAGGTTAAGTTGGAGTACAAAAAGTAAAAGTACAATAAGTAAAAACTAGAAAAATTTGTAAAAATATACGTACTATACAAATACGTACTATACAAAACTCCTCCCAACTGAATTTTTTAGAACCGCAGGCGAAGATATTAAGAATTTTAAGGTTAGTTTAATTTTGTAATCAAAAAGTCCTTTTGTAAGTACGTAGCTTCAAGTAATACATTTTTAATTTAGTAGGTACTAAGGTAAGTACTGAACATCCAAAATAAGTCCGAATGGGAGCCCTGCTATACGGGATGGACATCGCTAAAATTCAAAAATTTGTGTCTGTCTAATTTTTTAATATTTCCCTTCTCCAACACGTTCCGCCATGCATTTGCAATATCTTCAAGTGGTTGGGGGCATTTCAGTGCAACGTCTATTAAGCAAAGTGTCCCCCTTTGCAAAATAAAATAATCCTAAATATTATAAAATAAAGCTAATTTTATTAAAAGCCTAAATAAACATTTTTTAATTTTTAGGAAAATTTATAAATTTTTTAGCTTTAAAATTTGGCCAAATAAATACATGAAAAATTTACCCATAAGAATAACATTTTAATAAAAAAAAATAAATAATTCTTTAAATAAATTCAAAAAATGATTAAAATTACTAATTCTTATATTAGTATATTTTTAATTTTTTTAATAATTAATTTTATTATTAATTACACAATGGCTGGTTTCCAACCAACCGCCCCAGGACATTCACCTGGAATTGGACATGAGAGCATTGTAGATTGTATGATTGAATTAAAGATTTTATTACAAAATTATAAAAAAATATACAAGGGATAATGTCGGCAGGAAAAAATTCCCAACAAAAAAAAACATCTGAAATTTCTTATGTATTTTCTGGAATTTTGAGACTGGGAGAGGGGGTGAGGGCCAGAGACTGAGGCTATGGTGTTGTTAATATTCCCGGCTTTTTAGAAAAATTTCGGGACCCAAAAAATTTAAATGGAGAAATATAGGGGCGAACCTCTAATAATTATTAGAGTTCAGCCTAGACGAGTCAAAGCTATTCTAATTATTACCAGAAAATGTTAACAAAATTTTTTATTTAATTTTTAATTTTAATCAGGAAAGTAAAAAAATGTGGCTGAATATGGGAATTTGGATAATTTTGGCAAAAATTTAAAACTTTTCTTTGGAAACAAAAATTGGGCTGTTAAAAACAACATTTAAAAATTCTATCCGATTTTATAGCTTTTCTTTGTTTAAGAATAAATTGTTAAATTTGGGAGAATAAATTGTACTCATTTTAGTACTCAGTTTAATTAGGTCCTCTAAAGAGAGAAAGGAGCTAGGTATCTCTACTGAATTAACAGATTATAATTACTAAAAAATTTAATTTTAAAATTTTCGTTACTCTGATGCCCAGTTTCGGGTGAATAACCTGACCTGGTCGGTAACAATTCAAAATCTTAACTGCAAGAAGGAATTTAGTTCATAAACTCAACAAAGACTATTCACTCTTTCATTTTTAGCAGCCAAAAGAGAAATCGTGCGGATCACAATAAAAAGAAGAGGTGGCCAATGCAAAAGATTAAGTAAAATCAAATCTCTGGATTTGACATACTAAAATATTTTTGCCAATTAATTGCAAATAATTAAGACTCCGCGTATAATAACAAAATTAATATGAGACATAAACAAAGAATCATGTTGATATAAAAAATAAATTCTCTTAGCTATATGTAGTTGGGAATTCCTTATATTCGGCAATTTAGTAGTTATATTTTGCCTTGAGTTACTATTAGTTAAAATTCATAACTTTTCAGAAAAAATTTTCAGACATTGAATAAAATTTCCTGATATATGATAAATACCATATAATATGCCATATGATTACTCTACTAATCAAATTCAAATAATTTTTTAAATATTCTCAGGTATTTATTTTGCCTCATTACATTTTGAGTTGACATACTTTTTTCAATTATTTTTTGGAGAAGGACGGCATATTCTCAATAAAAATGACCGGGCAAAATTGATGAAACATATAAAAAAGCATATTTTCCATATAAACTTCATTCCATATTTATATTAATTTAAAATGTTTAGATATTCAGTACTAACATAATTAGTGACACATTTATTCAAGAAGGGATAAGAGGGCCTAACATTCCACATGTTTCAGTATTTTTGCTAGAAGTCGAGCTCTTCAAATTTCATGTCCCGATATTTGGGGGTTTTGCTGTCTTGTAGATAAACATTGTTTTTCGAGTTTTTCGCATGTATCTCTTTCGACAGCCTCTCGTTTTTTTATTTTTATATAAGCTTAACATTAATTAAATACATTTTTTATTTTTTTAAATAAAATTTTGTTTCTTTTAGAATAATTTAATTAAAAGAAATTTTATTTCTACAAAATGACCGAAAATTTATCAAATTCTGTTTCGGAATTAGAAGTAAATTTTAAAAAAAATTAATTAAAAAAAATTTTCTTTTAAAGTTATCTAAACAAATTGAAAATTTAATAAAACTTCATACAGAATTTAATAATCTTCAATTAAAATTTAATGAAGAGAAGGGAAAGAATTTAAATTTAGAAGAGAAAAATAATTCTTTAGAAAATGAAATAAATGAAATGAATAAAGTTTGTTAATTTAAATTAAATTAGAGTCGAACATAGGTGGATCGGAACAGTCAGAGGTGTCGGAAATCGGAAGAGCCGGAAATCTGAACTGGCTCAAAAATCGTAAATCGGAATTCCGACCCATCTCTGGAGTCGAAGAAGTAGTTGGTGGGAGATTTCCGGGAATTTTTTTTGGGTTTTTTAATTAAATAAAAATTAATTGAAAATTTTTAGAAAATTCAAAAAGCAAATTCTGACAACGAAAATAAAATTGGAAAAATAAATTCTGATAATCAAAATGAAATTAAAATTTTAAACGAAAATATTCAACAATTAAAAACTGGACTTACTCAGAAAGACGAGAAAATTAATTCTTTGCAGAAAAAACTTGAAGCGGTAAATAATTTTTAATTTTTTTTTGTTAAAGAAAGTTTTAATTAAAAATTAAATATAAAATAAAAAATTTAGTTGAATCTAACTTATAAATAAATAGATCCAGATATTTTAATTATTTCACGATGAAACGAATTTTTTTTGTTTTTCAACACCAAAAAGGAAATTTTTTTAGTTTTTTGGTAAATTTTGCCATAAAAAATAGGTAATACATATTTTGTTGACGAAACAAAGTCAAACGGTAAAACCCCACGAAACTAACGAAACATCGAAGCGAAGCATTTCGTGCAGTTCAGGTTTAGGTGTTGAATTTAAAAGAGTATTATGTATTATAATTATATGTAGGAAATTATTTTAAATAAACATTTTTTAATTTGTTTAAAAGGCGAATGAGTTATATGAGAAAAAGTTTTGTGATTTAACAATTAAATTGAACAATGAAATTTTTAAATATGTGGTTAGTAGTTTATAATTATAATTAAATTATTAAAAAATAAATTTTTTAAAGGATTTTATTCAAATTAAAAATAAATGGAAAGAAATTGATAATGGGCATAGTAATTGTTGTGACAAAAATTGTATAAATACAAACAAACCTACTGGTAATTGTATTATAGGAAATGGATTTGGAAATTTAATTGATGATGAAAATATTAAATATATTTTGGGGAAAGGAGGTTAATTATTTTTGAATTTCAATTTTTTAAATATATTTTTAGGTTGTGATAGGGAATTTAAAGTTTATGCAGAAAATTTGTTCAAAAAGCCTCAGAATTGTTTTAAACATTCTTTATATTATTTTGAAATTAAATGTATATTTGAAGGAGAAAAGGGAGGAAATTGTATGTGTATTGGACTTAAAAATTTAAGTACAAATAAATCTATTTACTATTCTGCAACGAATTCCTTAATTTATAACGAGAAATTTATACCATTTAAACCTTCCATACTCTTAAATAATAACGATATTTTTGGTTGTGGATTAATTTACCCTCCAACTAATATGACTAATGAATTTCCTTATATTTTCTTTACTCAAAATGGAAAACAAATTGGTTAATATTTTAACAAATACATATTAAAATAATGGAATCTTTTATTAAAGGTAAAGGTATAATATTGAAGGAAAATTTCAACTTATATAAACCATGTATTTGGCTGAATGGGTTTTCAATTGAAGCTAATTTTGGAAATGATTTGAAGACTAAACCTTTTAAATATGATATTTCAAAACATTTAGTTATTAAAGAATTTTATTGAAAATTTGTTTTTTTAAAATTAATTTTGTTTCTTTGATTTTTTAAAATTAAATTATGATTAAAATATTTCTGAATTTATTAAAAGAAAATCTGTTAATATTTCGGTTTGTTCTCCCTGAAAGAAATAAGGAATACTAAGTGCTTTTTTGGTGTTTTTGAGAGATGCCAGTTAATTGTGTTGAGTTCGAATTTTATTTTTAATCCCGCACAGGCATAATTAGATATACCCGGTTCCTTTATCCGCTCACTGCTATAATTTACCCTCATTCCCATAGAAGAAAGACACCTCAAAAGGTTTTTTAAATTACGTACTTGATATATAATTAATTACAAATGATATAATTTTGGTTATTTGTGTAATTTACACCCCATAAGCACCGCCCCTTTCCTTTTCTTATAAAGACCGAAGAATATCCGAAAGATTCCAAAATAGATAAGGATTTTCACCAAATAGATAGTGCCTAACAATTATTTTTCTAACTCATTCACTTTTAATTTTTACTTAATTACTTTCATTCTACAAAAAAATCTTCTATTTTTTACTTGGCTTGGTTTTCAATTGAATTTTTTGACCCACAACCTTCATTTTCCTTCTCTCCGTTTATAATTCTAATGCTTGGCTTACTTTTTTTTAGTTTGGGAATTAATATTTTCGAGCTAATAGAGATTTTGGATTACACCTATAAAAATAACGGTTTCCACATTTAATAATTTCTATAATTTACTTACTACTTCATCTTTTACTTTAATTAAAAAGTAAAGTCTAAATTCTCAACAATATTCCCCATAATTTTGCAAATTTAATTAGGGTTGTACCTCTTATTTATGAAAATAAGAAGCTTGTTTAATAATTATTGGTGTAATGAAAATACATAGGATAGATAGTTGAGGATAGTTGTTGACCATTTAACCAGAAACCACCTACGAACGTGGGCAGGTGTGTGTAGGGTTTTCAAATTATTTTAGGCAGAGCGGGACGGGGGAGCAAAACATGGTCAGAGTACGATGTCGGGGTACAACTCTAAATTTAATAAAATTATTATTTAATTTCCTTAACTTTTTCAAACTTTAATAAATTCTATCAAAATGACTGAAAAAGGATTATCACCAAATTTTGATTGGATTTTGGTTGAAAAAGAGAAAAATGATTTAATAAACCTTCAAATTAATCTTAACAATCTTCAAATAAAATTTATTGAAGAGAAGGAAAAGAATTTAAATTTTGAAAAGAACAATATTTTACTTGAAAATGAATTAAAGGAAATGGACAAAGTTTGGTTATTTTTTGGATATTTTTTTGAAATTAATTTTAGAAAATTACAAAATTAAATTATGATCATAAAAATGAAATTGAAGAAATAAAACGAAAATTTCAAAAATTAATTGATAAAGGATTTCAGCAATTAAAAGATGAATATGATCGAAAGGACGAGAAAATTAACTCTTTGGAAGAAGAAATTAAAGAGGTAAATTAAAATATACCTAATTTATATAATACATCCACTGAAAATTTTTTTTGAAATTTTCATGAATTTAAGTCTAAATAATATGACATTTTCTTCTTTTCTTTATCTAAAACTAAACTGCGTAACAAAAAGTGGCAGAACATGTTTTTTGACATAAATTATTGAAAAGTGCCCTTATTTCAAAATTTTGCCATTAGTTCAATGAATAAAATGCCAATAAGACGATCTTGATGATCGACCATGTTAGTCCTTCATTTCTTTTGTATTTCTTTTTGATATTGATAGTAGATATGTATTTTAATAGATTCTATTCATCTTTTTGTTTAATGATAAATATTATTCTATAAAATAAAAAAAACTTTCACATATCTTTGATCTTCGGCATTTTATTCATTAAAACTAACGGAAAAAATGAAAAAAAAGGCCGCTTTTTAAGAGAAAAAATGATTTAGGTTACGAATATAAGTAGTTGAGAATTTTTATTATTTAAATTTTAAATCATAAATTAATTATAATTTATATTAAAGCCAAATAATTTATTTGAAATAAAGATTGGTGATTTAATTAAATTAAATAATAATTTGGATTGGAATAAATATGTGGTTAGTTAATAATTTTAAATTATTATATAATTTTTTTAAAGAATTTTGTTAAAATTAAAAATAAATGGAAAGAGATTGATGGTGATTACAGTAAATGTTGTGACAAAAATTGTATAAATACAGACGAACCTGTTGGGTATTGTATTAAAGGAAATGGATTTGGAAATTTAATTAGTGATGAAAATATTAAATATATTAATTGTTTGGAGGGGAAAGAAGGTGAATTTGGTAATACTTTCGTAAGCCCCGATGCCTTGTGTTTTGTTTAAAATGTACAGAATGGCCTGAAAATGCGTGCCACAAAATTTTGTAAAACTTAGTCTTCAATAGGGTAAAATTATGTCATAATTTTGCCGAAACTTGCCAATCACGATGATTTTGATGTCAAGAAACTCAGTTCAACGAGCTCTATCAAGCTATAGACCTACTGACCAATTTGTACATCTTAAACAAAAAATAAAGCATGGGAGGGGAGGGGGGGGAGTTGAATTTTTTAATTTTTATGTATTATTTTAAGCTTACAACAAAAGTGTTTTTGTTTATGCAAAAAATTCATTTAAAAAACCACAAAATTGTCTCAATTATTCTTTATATTATTTTGAAATTAAATGTAAATTTGAAGGAGAATTAAGTGAAGATAGAAAATATTTAAATATTGGTCTTGAGAATTGTAGAACAAATGAATGGATTGAATTTTGTGCGGAGTATGCCTTAACTATGGATAAATATGGAGATTTGGAGCCTGCAACAATTGTCAATAATAACGATATTCTTGGTTGTGGATTAGTTTATCCACCAACCAATAAAATGAATGAAGAATTGCCTTATGTTTTTTGTACACAAAATGGAAAACAAATAAGTAAAAATTCAAAAAAAATATTTGGTACTTACCCTTTATATGCCCACAGATTAATTCTCTTATTTTCTCTTTCCTTTTTTAGTAAATTTTGATTAACCCCGTAGCAATAGATACCCAGCTCTGCGTTTTAAAACCTATGCCAATTTTGTGTTGTAACACTACTATTTGCAAGTTCACCGTGTTCCCATAAAATGTTCATGAAAATAGAGCTTTACTCACCCGCAGTTATGGTACACATTTATTGGTCTTGAGAATACAATACTGGACCATTGGTTCTAACACGCAGAGCTGGGTATTTATTGCCATAGAGTTAATCAGACCATTGGCAACTTTTACCAAAAGGAAAGAAATAAAATAAAAAATTAATTTGTGGGCATTTAAAGTTCAAGTTCCAAAAATTTTAAAAAACATTTTCAAAAAATTTTAATTTTTTTAAAGGTAAAGTATCATTAATTGACATTTCCGCGTCATATAAACCATTTATTAAACTAGAATGTTGTTCAATTGAAGCTAATTTTGGAAATGATTTGGAGACTAAACCTTTTAAATACGACATTTCGGCACAATTCTTAAAGGATTTAATTAAAAATTTGTTCTGATTAATTTTTTATTTAAATTGTGAATTATTTTTTAAATATTTCTTTTTGAAATTTGTTAAATAAAAAATGTATTTTTTTGTCTACAAAAATTAATGTACCGTATTATCTCTAATAGAATGGCCGTCTCCATTTGAATGGCCCCTTCTAATAGAATGGCCCCCTAGAGGGTGATTGAAAAATAGAATGGCCGGCCATTCTATTAGAGATAATACGGTATGTTATTTTTCTTCAATTACCTTTAATAATTTAAAATTCAAATTCTCCAATTTTTAAATTATTTATTTAGACTTTATCAAACATTAGGAGAAAATAAAATGCCTGAATCAACAAATTTTGATAGGAAAAGAGAAAAATGATTTTGAAAACCTTGAAACTAATTTTGTCAACCTTTTAAAATGTTAATTTTTAAAAATAATAATTTTGACCATAAAAATGAAATTGAAAAAATCTTATTATAGTACATATATGTATGTATGTAATTGAGAAAGCTGTGTGTGTCCGTTTGTCCTTTTATAGAAAAGGGGGCTCTATAGTAAAATGAATTGCAGAGTGAGGAAAGGGTTTTTATAGTAAAGCTTTGCCAGTTGAATTAGGTTGTAAGGGTAAGAGGATAGTATAAAAGCAGCTCAGTTTTCAAATGCTATCAACACTTCTCAACTCTACTGTGCTCTGTACTGCTGGTGTCATGTGTCTTGCTGGAGACCAGTTAGGAGTCAACGTTCAAGCGCAAGGTCAGCCGCTGCTAGGAGTCATCATTGGCAACCTGTCAGTGATCATTATCGAGTCTTGTTCGAGTCGGGCCGGACGAGTCATTTTCGGGCCAAATATCCTAGGCAATTTTGCCAACCCTATTTAAATTGATACGAGTGTTATGTAAAGAACGATTAAGAATTCAATTTTGAGTCAAATAAATAGAATAGTTATCAAATATTCGGACAGACTCAACTGACTATATAATTAACTTGCCAATTTTACTTAACATACTATCAATTCGGTCATTTGTGGGAAATTTCTTTTTTCGTAGTAGAGTTGATTTTTTCTTTATTAAGCTTGGAATTTTTCTTAATTATTTTATTTTCTTCAAATTTTCAAAGTTACCAAGAAATGACTTCAAAGTCTTCGGCATCTTTTCAAGTTATAGAAGAGGGGGAAGAACAAAAAGAAGAACAACAACCTTCAATTTCTTCATCAAATGCAGACGAGCAACCGCCAGTGATTGGTGGGGGGACAGAAATGGGAGAAGGTTTTTTAAAGAAAATTTTTTTCTTAAAAATTTTCCTTCACAGCAATAATGGAAATGATCCGTCCCGCTGTTCAGAATTTGGATAATCAAGTAAAATGTACAAGGAAAAGTCAAATAATGTTGGCTTCCCATATTGATGAATTATCGAAAAGTTTTTTAGAAATATTTAAATGGATCTAAAATTTTAATTTTTAGAATTAAAGAGTATTGTGGATGAACAAACACTTCCGTATGATTTGGATATTTATGTGAGGAAATTGGAAGATAGCCGTAAACGGATGACGAGTGTTAACCAGCGGTTGCAGGTTCGTGGAGTTTAAATAAAATTCTGATTTTAATAAATTAAAAATCAGAATTTTGATTAAATCAGAATTTACACTAATTAAAATTCTGTTTAAAAATTTCAGAATTTATTGAAATCGGAATTATTTAAAATTAAGAATTTTTATTAAAATCAGAAATTCTGAATTTGAAATGAAATACAAACATTTACTGAAACAAATTTATTCTGATGAAATTATGTAATTCTGATTTTTCTTGTAAAACACAAAAATCAGAATTTTAGCTTTAATTCTGATTATATTACACTTTCGGCTCTCCAAGAAAATTCTGAAAATAAATTCTGATGTATTTACTAATTAAAGAAATTCTGATGTGAATAAATATTTCCCCTTGTAAAATTTAGTCTCTTCACACACGTGTAAGTCAACTACAAAGAAGCGCAGCACGCGAGATTAGTAAACAAAAACAACGTCAAACTCCGGCGCAGCAATAAAATAATTTTTTGTGAAGAATTTAAGGACAAACTTCAATTTTTTGAGGAGAATATTTTTAAAAAATATTATATTATTTTATTAAAAAAATAAATATACATTTTTAGCCAGACCTCACTTAAAAGGTACACCCTTGGGGTTAAAAAACAGTGTCTTATAATGAGTGTATCCTAAATATAAATGAAGGGGTTTTCAGGGGTTTTTCTCGTGGTCTTATTATAATAAAGTGGAGTTAGGGTCTATCTAGTATTGGATGTAACTTCTAGTGAGGTCTGGCTGTATAAAAAATCTACAAATAAATATTTTCTAAAAAGTAAATAGTAATTGTCTATAAATTAATTAGTAAATAATAAGAAATCAAAAGCTCTTCACATCCTCACAACAATTGTTTTTGCCGCCAAATCATATATAGCTCTATTGTAGTTAAACATATAAAAAGCTGTACTCAATGGAAATAAAAACATTATCACCATATTTTTCAGAACGGAACGGAGAAGAGCTCTGAAATTAGAAAAAAGTTATAGACCTTTTCTGTTATCTACTTTTCCTTTCCCTTCTCTCAGATCACTGATTCTTTTAACACTTGCGAAGACGGGTCGGTTTTTGAAAATAACTGGAACTATTTAACTACTTCTAATGAACAGATGCTCCTACTGACTGAGTCGCCACTTTCAACTCCTACTAAATCCTTAATTTCTAAGTATTTTAAATGCCGGCCAGCTGAATCCCCGCGTCATCCTTACACTTTCATAATTATTTAAAAATCATATGAGAATAAAATAAGAAAAGTCATGCGTAAAGAGGTTACATGCACTTTTAACTAAAAAGTGCAAAAGGAAAATGCCCTCATGATATAGGGCATTTTCGGGATGTGAAAAAGAATTTTAAAAATTTTCAAAAGTCCTTCCCTATTTTTAATATTTTCGTCATTCTTATAAAATAATAAAGCTGGGGAGGTTGGGAATTCACGTGAAATGTCCAAAGTTTAAACTCGAATGGAATCCCTATTTAACCTTCCATTTATTTTTAATTTTATTCATTTTTTAAAGAAAACCAAAAAAAAATTCTAAAGAAAAATTTAAAATTTTATTCAAGATGATTTTGCCCATCCAACTTTTGCCCTATTCCTACTCCGTATTTATTTTTATATGTTTTGGTTGTATGTTAACAAGCTTTATAAATGGTAGCTAAAATTATACAAGGAAATTTTCAAGGGATTATTTGTCTGAAAGCTGGAGTCTTCTTATCGGCAGGGGTAGGATTCATGGTCCATCAAAATATATTGAGGAGAAAACAAGAATTCCCCCGGTCCGCCATTTTTGTATTTGATTAAAAGCTCAAATTAGCTCTTCCCCACACTCAATTTTGTTATAAAGAATGACAATTTTCTTCTACTTTTAGGCGAATCCAATTCTCAATATGAAATTGTTAACGACAATCAACAACGCAATAAAAGATCACCTCCAACATTTTGGGGGGAATCAAGAAAAAGTTTAATAACAATTCCAATATTAGCTGGGAGTTATGCGCTAATGGATAGATTTAAAGGAGAAAAACAGGCAAATCAAAGGGAGATAACAAAAAATGAAACGAGTAAATTTTCAAAGAAATTTTTTTAAGAAATTCGATTTTTTAGTAGAACAACAAAAAATTGAAGAAAAACAAGAACAACAAAATATATTCCCTAAAATAAACCAAATTTTAATGAAACCTCCCCAACAATCAAACCATAACATAGGAAAGGATATGTTGGAAATGGTTACTGCTGGGTAAGCGAAAGTAATTTATTATCGGATCGGATGTTGGCAGTCGGTTATAGGATCAGTGGATCAAGGGAAATCCAAGGATATATGGATACGAACCGAAAATTCCAGTATATCCAAAAAATTGATATCTTGATTTAAGAGCAACCAACTCTAATCGGTGTATTCTGTCTTCTGGGAAACTCGAGCCATGACCAATCTAGCTCGATATAACGAACCAAACACAGTGTGGGAGATTAGAAACTCTTAAACAAGGTTTAAAACTTGCGGTAAAGTTGAGGGTTTATTTGGGTCCTTTCCACATTTCTAAAAATAACTGATAAACCTTAATTAAGACTGCAAAAAAGAGGAGTAAAAATACCACAAAGGGCACAAAAAGTTATCAAAAAATATTCCAAAAATTTTCAAAAAATTGGGCAATCATCAGATGATGCTGAAGGGCAATCAGAGCCCCAAGACAATGTTGAGAATAAAAATATTAAAAATGATATTGAGCATATGAATGAAAAAGAAGAGGAAATTTTTAAACAATTGATGGAAAAAAGGAGTAAATTTCAGCAAAAAAAGAATAAAGAGAAGAATGGAAATGGTAACTTTAAGGGGAATAATTCATGCTAAAAAGGCTACTACTCCTAATTTTAGATAATTAACCAGTGTTTTTCGTCTTGTTTCTTAGATCCTGAGCTCTTTTTGTGTCTCTTGGCATTTAATGGGAATGCTTGTTTTGATACACTAACGGTCGAAAATTTGTCTGCAGCGTCAAAAAATAATTTCCTTGTTGAAAGAAATTTTTTCCTATGAGATCGAAAGGTTGTCTCGAACTTGAAATTGAGTTTAGAATAAAGTCTTTTATGGCTTGTCGGGTTCTCCTACTTCGAAGAAAATAGAAAAATATATTTTTTTCAATATTTTTAGCAAAAGACATGACAGAATTCTACCGAAAGTATGCTAAATTAATAGCAAATCGGGACCCAAAAAGAAAGAATGTTGGCATTGGTCCTCAATTCTGGAAACAAATAGCCGATAAAACGACCGAAAAAGAGAAACATGACGAGAAAAAAGAATAAAAGGAATTAATCAGAAAATTAAGAAAAAAATATTAAAAATTATGTATATATTTTGTATATAATATTTTTTAAAAATATTTATAAATTTTTGTAGTGAATGAAAAAAGATAAATTTCGATTATACTCCTAAAGTCCCAATCTTTCTAATGTCGCTCTTCTTGTTATAGTTAGGGAAAAAATCGTGAAGGCTATAATGATTTGCAGATATTTGAGGATTTTGTAAGCATATTCAAAAGGGCCATGATAAGCTCCCTTTTATGCCTATCTAATATTTATTAGAATTGGAACTAGAAGTTTTTTGGAGGAACAGGACCTAGTTTTGTTTAAAGGGTTTTAGACCTGAAAATCTGGACTGGATCGAGTCAAAATCGAGTTTACGAGTTGGATCGAGTTTTCTTATTCATTTTCATTTTTTTCTTGTTTAAAAAAATTAAAAAACCCTTTAAAATCAACATAAGCAAAGCCTGTAATAGCCACTCGATCAGGCGATCCAGCAACTGGTTGAACATCCAAACAAGAGACTACTTTAATTCCAAGAAGCCGTTTTCCAGGAGTACAACCAACCGGAACACCGAAAGTAATACATAAAGCCTGTTTTATTAAAAAATATTTTTTTTGGATGGTTTTAAAAAATGTGCGATAAATCGACAAAATATAGGTCTTTTCCTTATTTTTAGTAAAAAAAATTTTTTGGAGTTCATTGGATTTCCTAATACTCACATAGTCGAAGAAGCATGGAAAAGTCTATTCTTGAGGGTCAGGCCCGTAACCAGGATTTTTCGGAGGGAGGGGGGGGGGTGATTAGAAAGAAATATTTTTCGAAGATCTTTGTAAAAAATCCTTTAAAAATGAAAAACCTCAATAATAGCCGTAACAAGTTTAAATAACAATTCAACACTAAAAAGTCCTTGTGTAACATCAATTAAGGTTTGAAGGTCAGCGTTAGCGGTTAAAATACTATCAAATGTATCCAATTCTCTAAAATTTTAAAGAAAATATTTTTAGAAAATTAAAGAAGAAATTAAGTTGTTCAAAAGAATGAACTTCCACACATTTAATTAATAAATTAGAAAAGTTTTATGGATTTGAGGAGATAGGAAAGAAACAAAAAATCTGCAAGTTGTCGAAGAGTCCGCAAATATTCGCGGACTTGATTTTTTAAAAATTAAGAAGGGGAGGGATATTATTTGAGGATTTTTACCAACAAAAAATCCTCAAATTTGTATCCACAAAAAGTAAAAATTTGTGGACAAAAATTTACAGAAAAACTTTGCGGACTCTTACAAGGAAATTACAGGTTGAGAAAAAAAGGAAGGGTTCGGTTTAGGGGTTCGGCTCGGTGTTTCTAGGTTTTACTTCCTAAATCCAAGGGCTCCTCAACATTTTTAGGTGAATCACTATTTTGTGGACTATACTGAAAGAGACCTAAAGAAAGGCTCATAGTCAGAAAAAAATTGAGAATTTTGGAGGACATCTTAAGGTCATCAAAATTCTCCAAAATTTTCAAAAGTCACCCAAAATTCGGCAAGTGCCTAAAACCCTAAATTTTTTTAATAAAAAAATTCTTACATAAGATCAGCCCTCACAAGCGTATAAACAAGAAAAAATTTGAAAATAAACATAATAACAGAATCAATAGCCTCCGCAGCTATTCGACGAAAAAATGAGGGAATTTCGAATTGCTGTACAATTATTGTTTGGGGCTTTGAAAAAAAATAATTTTTTTTATTATTTAAAAAATAAAATTTAAAAAAATACAATGTTAGCTGTTGCCCTAGCTGTTCGAAAAATTCTTGTAAGATTTAGTCGAATTGTTTGCCCTCTTTGTAAAAATGGGGAAGGCGACTTTAAAATTAGTGTAAAATTAAAGAAAAATTATTTAAAAATATTTAAGAAGCTCAAAAATAAGGGGGAAATTATTTGAGGGTTTTTACAAACAAATAATCCCATAATTTGTCTGAATGAATTTGTCCGCAAATATTGTCTGCAAAAATTAGAAAAAATAGTATATAATGGCCCAAAAATAAGTATTGGGACCTAAATCCGTTTGCTAAACTTTTTGAGGTAAATTTATGGATAAAAACAAACAAAACCCCGCAAAAATTAAAAATTCAACTAAAAATAAAATCTGAAAATTTAAGTTTGAGCTACTAAATAATATCTGGGAATTTTGAAATTTGTATGTATGTCCCCATTTCATTTTACCTCAAAGCCCCCCCCGTCTGACTTTAGGGAAAATTGTAAATATATAAATCAAAAAAAGAATTAAATTTATCAAGTTTTCTCACAATAAGGAGGGGATTTGGAGGGAAACAAAGAGGCGATATACAAAATTCCCTAAGACTTTATAAATTAAAAAATGCCTGTTGTTGTTGCATTAACATAGCAGTCTGTTGTTGCTGCAAAAAAGTATTTGTCCAAAACGAAGCCATCATTTGCTGTTGAGCCATACACCAACGGACAGATTGGGACCATTTATGGACCTAAATAATGATTTCTAAAATTCCAAAATTTCCAAATAAAAACCTCTTGAACATAAGCTGCAGCAGAGCCGTAATCTTTTTTAATTTCATTGGGTAAGTTAAATTTGTTGTTGTTATTAATTTCTTTTTTAGTAGAGGACGACATTAATTTAAATAAATAAAAATAAAATTTTCCTGTTTAAAATATGTTAAATTGAATGAATCGCGTAACGCTGATGTGTACTTGCTGATTTATCTCACAGCTGATGAAACGTTAAAAAATATTTAATGACATTAGGTTAAATTTGACCGTTGTGACCATTTATATGTTTGACATTTTTAAAGTTTTCTTCTTTGTGACATTTTAGTCAAGTGAGCAAAATGGACAAGATGTTTTGTCTATTTCCTTGTGTTTGACCATTCTGTCCTCCATTGCTTGTATGCTTTTTAAAAAAAATTCTGGGATGATAAACATTTAAATAAGTGCCGGATCGTATACGGCTCGATTTTCCGGATTCACGATTAATCCAGAAAAATACTGTCAGGCTCTTGTTACAGCACCGTAATCCAGCAAATTTATTATATTTTTAATGATTTTTTCTTTCAGAATATTTTTAATTAAAAATTCTACAAAATGTCTGAAGGATCATCAAATTCTGATTGGATTTTGGTTGGAAAAAAGAAAAATAATTTATTTAAAAAGGCAAATGATTTGTTTAACAAAAATACTGGCAATTTGATTAATTTGAATAATTGTGTGGTTAGTTTATAATTTTGGTTAAATGAAAAAATAATTTTTGAAAGGATTTTGTTGAAGTTAAAAATAAATGGAGTAAAATTGAAATTAATGGGGAACCCTCCAAATGTTGTGACAATGAATGTATAAATACAAACAAACCTTACGGAAATTGTATTAAAGGAAATGGTTATGGGAATATAATTAATGATGAAGACATTGAATATTTCAATTGTTTGGAGGGGAGAAAATGTAAATTAATTGAATTTTTGATTCTTTAGTATTATATATATTTTTAGGCTTTGATAAATATTTTGGTGTTTATACAAAAAATTCATTCAAAAAACCTCAAAGATGTTTTAAGTATTCTTTACATTATTTTGAAGTCAAATGTAAATTTGAAAGGAAATTAAATAACGACAAAATATATATGAATATTGGGCTTCAAAATTTAAATACAAATAAATTTGTTGAATATTCTGCAAAGCGTGCTGTAATTATTAATGAGGGAAGTGATTTCAAAAATAATGATATTTTTGTTTAAACTTTCAACAGATTTCAAAAATAATGATATTTTTGGTTGTGGATTAGTTTATCCTCCAGCTAATATGACGAATGAATTTCCTTATATTTTCTTTACACAAAATGGAAAACAAATTGGTAAAAAATATTTATGTAATTAAAAATTCTTTCTAAATTATTTTTTTAAAGGTAAAGCATCTTTATTAGACAATTTTGATACATATAAACCATTTGTTTGGCTACAGTGTTGTTCTGTTGAAGCAAATTTTGGAAGTGATTTGGAGACGAAACCTTTTAAATATGACATTTCGAAGCATTCAATTCTTAAAGAATTTTATTGAAATTATTTGACCCTATACGCAAATGAGGGGGTAATCGTTTTTTTCCTTACTTTTTTCCTTTCCACATTTTTCTTTATTTTGTACATTATGGTCAGACTTTTTCCTCTGTTTACTTCCAATTAATTTCCCTGTGGCATATTTAAATGGAAAGATTGACAAGACAGGCACGAACTAGGACAGACAAAACACGGACGGACACAGACAGACAAAACACGGACGAAGACGGACAGAACCACCACGGATGGACATGGATGGACAAAACATGGGCAATCAAAGTTAGAAAGGAAAAAAGAAAAGGAAAAAATAAAGGAAAAATGGAAAGGAAAAAAGTAAGGAAAAAAACGATTACCCCCTTATGTGCGTATAGGGCCAATTATTTTATGATTACTTTTTTTCGATTTCCTCAATTTAAATGTCTAACTTTGCTAAATTTTTCTTTGTGACATTTCTGTCAAGCGGATAATATTACCGCATAAGTTTTGTCAATTCACTCTTGTTTGACCATTTTGTCCTCCATTGCTTTTAGGGTTTTCAAAAAAATTTCTAACATCAAAAATATTTGAATAAGTGGGCGGCGATTTTTTTGCCCTTTCTATTTATCTATAACCGGATTAATCCAGATAAATCCAACCAGATCCGGGGATCTAGCTACAACTCCGGATCCAAGTCCGAAAATTTGTGATACCGAGGTCTGCTAACTTACATAGAATCTCCTTAAATTTTAAGACATTTTTTAATTCTTTTTCCCCTTTCAGAATATTTTAATTAAAAATTATTTGCAAAATGACTGAAGAAGGATTATCAACAAATTCTGATTTGGAATTTAAAGTGACTGAAAATAATCTTGAAGTAAAATTTGTTGAGGAAAAGATTTTGAATCTTGAGAAGAAAAATTATTTTATTGAAAAGAATAATTTTTTGCTTGAAAATAAATTGAAGGAAATGGATAAAGTTTGGATTTATTTTAAGGAATATTTTTTAAAAATAATTTTAGAAAATTCAAAAAATTAATTTTGACCATAAAAAGGAAATTGAGGAGATGATACAAAATTTTGAAAAATTAATTGAAGAAAAATTTCAAAAATTACAAGCTGAAAATGATATTTGTTTAAAGAAAAAAGATGCGAAAATTAATTTTTTGGAGGAAGAAATCAAAAAGGTAAATAAATAAAATTTTTAGTTGAGAGCTTCCTGTCTTTCCCACTCATTTTAGAATTTTCTTTTTCCTTTTTTCACTAAGATTTCGAAGATCTTCAGTTTTTCGATTCGGGTTCGCATGACTAGAAGTGGCGGGTCCTGGGAGATCTCCGGATATCCTGACTTTTTCTGATCTAGATTCGCCAAGACCTGACAGTCCTACTCTTAATTATTTGTAATTTTGTGGGAAATATTTTAATTATTTAAAACTAACCAAATATTTTCTAAATTGATTTTAATATATTTAAAAAGGCTAAAGATTTATCTAACAAAAATACTGGTGAACTGATTAATTTGAATAATTGTGTGGTTAGTTTATAATTTTAATTAAATTATTAGAAAATATGGTACCTATCCGTTATATGCCAGCAATTTCTTTTTTCTATTTTCCTTCTTTTTCTCGTTCCACCATGTATCTATTATGTGAATCACCTGCTTCAGCAACCAAGATTGTGTTTTTGTAGCGGTGTTCCTAAAAAAATTTTTATGGGAATTCAGCCTGGATTAAGGTACACAATCACAGTACAGAACAATTGGTTCTAAAATGCAGGGTTTGGTACTTATCGCCATTGATCAATCTTTTACCTGTATTCAATATTAACCGTTTACTACTTTTATAAAAAAAGGAGAGAAAGGAAATAAAAAGAATTTGTCAGCATAAACCGGATAAGTACAGAAATTTTTTTTAAAGAATTTTGTCAAAATTAAAAATAAATGGAATGAAATTGATGGTAAATGTTGTGACAAAAATTGTATAAATACAAATAAACCTATTGGTAATTGTATTGAAGGATGTGGATTTGTTAATATAATTAATGAAGAAATTATTGTATATTTGGTGGGGAATGGAGGTAAATTATTGAATTTTTGTATTTTTTTGTAAATATTTCTTTAGGCTGGGATAATATTGTTCTAGTCTATACGGAAAATTCATTTAACAAACCACAAAATTGTGTCAATTATTCTCTTCATTATTTCGAAGTTAAATGTATATTTGAAGGAGAGTTACGTGTAAATAGAATGAATTTTGGTCTTAAAAATCAAAGTACAGATAAGTGTATTTTTTATTCTGCAAAGGATGCTACAATTAAAAATGAGAAAACCAGAAGATTTAGACTTCCAACACTTTCTTTCAATAATAATGATATTTTTGGTTGTGGATTAGTTTATCCTCCAACTAATAAAATGAATGAGAAATTTCCTTATGTGTTCTTCACACAAAATGGAAAACAAATTGGTAAATACAAACATAAAGATAGGGACAAAAGTTATTTTCTCAGTAACTTTTAAATGAGAAAATACGTAATTTTCATTTACTAATGTCTCCATCTTTTTGTCAAATTATATTTGGAAAATTGTTTTTTAAGGTAAAGCTTTATTAGTAAAAGACAATTCTGACACATATAATCCACATGTTATGGTGGTAAGCTGTTCTATTGAAGCAAATTTTGGGAATGATTTGGAGACGAAGCCGTTTAAATATGATGTCTCAGAACATTTAATTATTAAAGAATTTTATTGAAAATTACTTTTGTTTTTTTTTATTTTTCAATTTAAAATGTTTGACACTTCAAATTTTTTTAAACTTTTTTATCCGATAGACAAAACGGTAATTTTATAATTTACCTCAAATATGTAACTTTCCTCTGTTTAACATTTTAGTAATTCTTCGACATTTTGTCAATTTTCCTTCTTTTGACCATTTTGTCCTCTATTGCTTTTGTACGCTTTTCAAAAAATTCAAAGGATAGTTGTCGATCTGTAAATTCGCCAATTTTTGGACATTTGGTCTATTTTCCTTTTATTGACATTTTACAATTTTGCTTGGCTTGGTTTTAATTTTTTGATTTTTTTTGCAATTTTTTTCATTTTTTAGTAATTTAAATGAATTCTTTTAATCTTTTCAATGACGTAGCTAAAGGGGGAAATTGTTTAGATATAGAAGGCACCATTGAGAGTATTGTTGAAGATTTGGTAGACAAAATTTGTTTGAAAGAGGATACTAAAGAAGAAGAAAAACAGGAACAACAATCAACAAGCAATAATAACTCTTTAATATTAAAAGAAGAGTGTTTACAATTACAAGTTGGAGAGTTTCTTAGTGATGCTATTTCTTTGGCTTTGGAAGATTTTGTTGGTGAAGAAAATGCTAGAGCTAAAGATGCGGAAGCTTTATTGGGTGGATGTTTGGATTTAGTTTGTACTTATCCTGAGGTTTTTTTTATTTTTTGTATGGGGTGCAGGCTTTTTTGAAATTGTCCTGTTCTCGGTGGGATTTCAAAAGTCCAAGAATCACTTTGTAGGATGGGATTCGAACCATCGTCTTTAATTCACCAGAACAGATTTTTAATCCACTACACCACGCTACCTTTTACATTTCGCTTTGCGAATGACCCTAATGGCCTTTAAATTCTCGACTTCTTGGCTCGGATTTCTCGTTTTGGTCTCGGCTCTTTACTTTCTTTTCTAAAGGGAAATCAACGATATAATCTAAACTTAAAGACATCGAAAAAAGAAACATTTACCCATTTTAGAAAAATTTTGACAAGAAATTGTAGAGCGAAAGGCTTTCTTGATGTCTATTTTATCTAATTTTCCCTCCACTCTTTAAAACTTTTAATAAACTTTTAACATTTTAGGGTTATAAACCTCGCCAACCTCTTTATTCTTGCAAAACTTGTTCAGCACAAAATGGTGGTGAATTAGCCGGAGTTTGTTATGCTTGTTGTGAGAATTGTCATGAAGGGCATGATCTTGTTGAATTGTATACAAAACGGAATTTTTGTTGTGATTGTGGAAATTCAAAGTTTGGAAAGCTGAAATGCAAACTTTTTGAGGTTTTTAAATTTTTTTGAAAAGTTGGGCTTTCCTTTTTTATGATTACACTTTTACTCAAATTTAAAAAAAGATTAAAAATGTTTAAAAATTTCAAATTCCGTTTTACATCATATTAGGAGGTCAATTTTAAGTTTAATCATAATTGTCCTTTCCTAACGCTTACCATTTTTAAAAATTAACCAGATTGTCCAAAATATAACTTCATAATTTTCTAATCCAGGGCTCGCATTCCTACTTTTTTAAAAGTATTCTACTTTTAAATCGACCTCCATGCTTACGAAATTGAATTTATACTTTTTTGAAAGTATATACTTTTTTTTGATTGAAAATGAAATTGGGGAAGGGATTGGGCAAAAAAGTGAATTTTCTGGCCTACGGCCTCCATCTCAAAATTTTCGCCTGCGGCGCAAAAAATGGAAGAAATCTGGCTTAAAGACCTCCAAAATTCTCAAAATTTTCGCCTGCGGCGCAAAAAATGGAAGAAATATGGCTTAAAGACCTCCAAAATTCTCAAAATTTTCGCCTGCGGCGCATAAAATAAAAGACTTTGTGGCGCCTTCGGCGCCACAAAAGGTGCATTGAAATTGGCAAAATGCTCAGTTGAAACAAGAAATTATTAGAAAAGATTAATTTAGGAGAAAAATATGAAAGATTTGAGGACGAATAAATATTTTATAATTTAATTTTGAGACTACTTTTTTTTTGCAAATTTTCTCCCTATATACTTTTTAATCGAGATTCTGATACTTTTGAGTGGCATTTTGTCGATGCGAGCCCTGTTCTAATCCATTTAATTTAACCCAATTTAAGGAGAAAGACCCACTCAATCAACGCAATATTTACAATGACAATTTCAAAGGGATTTTCTGTGTTTGTAAAAAGCCTTATCCTCCAGAAGAGGAAGAAGAAGAAGGAAAAAATGATGATGCTTTTGAAGATATGGTGCAATGCCAAATTTGTGAGGACTGGTTTCATCCTTCGGTATTTTAAATGTTTAGAAACTTGAATCGAAACTTGGATAATTTTGCGAAAGCCGTTGTACTTAATGTTAGGAAGAAATATAGGACTGTGGGAAATTCTATTATAAGTTTCTCCGTTCCCCATCAAGAAAACTGAGGAAGTCTAGACAAATTGGCCATCCCAGGAATTAGCATCCCACCATTGACTAGTGATTTTTATGTTTGTTTTTCAATAATTAGGCTTTGTGTAAATTCCGACTACCTTACATTAAAAACTTTGGATAGTATTAAAAATTTGTTAGAATTAATCTTTTGAAGTTCTGCCTAAAAAGAAAAATATTTTCCCATAATATCCTTTTAAATTTTTTTAATTTCTAAGCATGCTATTTCTGACGTTACTGAACGCTCGAAGCTTGATAGAGAAAGGGAGGAGGAAGAAGATGGAGGCTTTTGTTTGATTTGTTCTCTCTGCATTCAAAAACTTCCATGGCTTATTTATTATTCAAATAAAATTGAAGGAAACGAACAACAAAATTATTGTAAATTGGAAGTATTAAAGAATTGTTCAGATGGAATAAATAAAGGAAATGATGGAATTTGTTTTCCAATTAATTGGCGTGATCAGCTTTGCCGTTGTAACGAATGCAAGGTTTTTTATAAAATTATTTTTAAAAGATAGGTGGGTATGTTTAGGGATGAGACTACCCTCTTTTACTATAATTTTGACAAGTAGGGAAATTTTTCTTTTGGATAATTTTATTTCTGGTCGGAATTTTTAAAGAAATTTCCTTATTAGCTTGATTACAATATAAATTCCAGTTTACAATTTTTTGAAATTGCCAATGAATTTTTTAAAATCACGGAATTATTTTATAAATAAAAGCGATTTTTGGAAACTTTATTTTGGAGCTTTAATATTAAAAATTTTTGAGTGTTTGTATTAAACAAGAAAATGTCTAAAAACCTTAATACTTTTCTGTTAATCAGATCTTTTTTAGGTTTTGTATGAAGACTTGGATTGTCAATACCTTTTGGAAGTTGAAGATACTTTAGAGTATTTTGAAAAACAAAATCGTGAACAAATGGCTGCTAAATCAAATTCCCAAGATGATAAAAATAAAAAGAGGAAGCAAGTAGAAGATACACAATTGCAAAGAGAATTGGCTTTAAAAATGACTACAGGTTTGTTTAAAATTTTAAGATTTATTCTTAAAGTTAAAAAAATATTTTTTTCAATGAAATTTTTATTAAAAAATAAAAGAATTTGAAAGTATTGGATAGATTGGATAGGACCTCCTATTTTATTTTTTTTTCTTCCGCTTTGGTCTTTCGTTTTTTAAAATGCGGAAGCCTCATCCCAGCTTCAAACCTTTCCCAGCCTTATAGTTTTATAACTAACAAGTTCGTTATTCACACCACTCCCATCTTTTAAAATTTTTTGGGTTTCATTAACTTTTAACCAAGTATTTATTTATTAATATTCTCTTTTTTTCGTCAAAACATTTTTTAATCACTTTAAAATTTTTAAAAAAAATTTAAATTTTCTTTAGGAATTGAACAAATGAAGCGTCATTGTATTGCCTTTTTCTCACAACGTTCAGCAAGCAAACGTAACGGTGAAACAGTTATTACAAAAGAAGATGTTGCTGATTGTTTTCACGAATTGATGGTTAAAAGACAAAAACTTATGGAGGACGAGGAAGAAATCGGTGCAAAAAAATTTTCTTGGACGGAGGTTTATTTTGAAAAAATTTTTTGAAAATTTTTTTTTAATTTTTAGTGAGCTCAAGAAATCTTTTTTTGAGAAAAATGGAAGAGGATTTATTCAAAAATGGAATGAATTGGAATTAAATAAACGGGAATCTCTTTTTGTATTTTTCTGTTTATTATTAATTTGAAAATATTTTTTTCCTCTGTCATTGACTTTTCGGATTTTTTAAATTTCTTTAATTTTAAGGATCAATTTAATTGATTTTCGAAGTGAAGGATTTGGCAGTAATTGTGATAAAAAGGAGGGCGGGTGGGGAGGGGGTTTATTGAAAAATACCATTTAAATTAAAACTTTTTTTCTCTTTTTTTTTGCAGCCGATTCAATATATTCTTCTCAACAAAAATTTGAATGGCTTCATTTGTTAATGGCTACAATCGATCTAATTTCGTGGAAAATCTGAATTATTAATGGGCAAAGCAGATTTTTAAATTCGATCCGAATTTTCGGATTTAATTTTACATTTATCTGGTCATTGTCTTCTAATAATGGAACAACATTCTGCTGTGAATGGAAGAAGTTTGAATAATAAAAACGTGTGGAAATAAAAGAAGCTTAAAAACAACTACTACAGCTTTGCAAGTTTATCAATTGGTGATTTACAAGAAATTGACATTTTGATGGTATCTGTTATTTTGGTTTTTATTATTTTGGGCTTACATCAATACAGTGAGAAATTTAATGAAATACATGAAGACAATTTAATGAATACATTTTATTTTTTAGATTTATAGATTTTAACTATCAAACATCAGCAATTACTGCAGAAACTAGACACATCTCAAAACTGCCCGAATCCGTGTAATTTCCAGCTGTAACATCAAGAATACTATCGGTGTCAGTGTGATTGGGCTCAATAGTATCAGCTATTAATTATTCATTTACAACTATTAACTATCAACTGTGAATTTAATTAGATAGTTACAACTTCCTTTTCCATTTTGAGTAAAAAAAATGTAAGGAGATTCATTTAATTTATTAGTTGGCGGATAAACTAATCCACAACCAAAAATATCATTATTAGTTGGAATTTTTATGCAAATGCTTATTTTTAGCAAGTTTGGTATGTGTATAATGCACAAAAAATCGCAGTTTTCGCTTGGTATGAAAACGAGTAATTTTCACAAATTTTTCCTAAATTTTTTCATAATTTACAGTTTTTTTTGGCTATTTTCGTGATGTTTTCCCAAACTTGCTAAAAATAAGCATTTGCATAAAAATTCCAACTAATAATGATATTTTTGGTTGTGGATTAGTTTATCCGCCAACTAATAAATTAAATGAATCTCCTTACATTTTTTTTACTCAAAATGGAAAAGGAAGTTGTAACTATCTAATTAAATTCACAGTTGATAGTTAATAGTTGTAAATGAATAATTAATAGCTGATACTATTGAGCCCAATCACACTGACACCGATAGTATTCTTGATGTTACAGCTGGAAATTACACGGATTCGGGCAGTTTTGAGATGTGTCTAGTTTCTGCAGTAATTGCTGATGTTTGATAGTTAAAATCTATAAATCTAAAAAATAAAATGTATTCATTAAATTGTCTTCATGTATTTCATTAAATTTCTCACTGTATTGATGTAAGCCCAAAATAATAAAAACCAAAATAACAGATACCATCAAAATGTCAATTTCTTGTAAATCACCAATTGATAAACTTGCAAAGCTGTAGTAGTTGTTTTTAAGCTTCTTTTATTTCCACACGTTTTTATTATTCAAACTTCTTCCATTCACAGCAGAATGTTGTTCCATTATTAGAAGACAATGACCAGATAAATGTAAAATTAAATCCAAAAATTTGGATCGAATTTCAAAATCAGCTTTGCCAATTAATAATTCAGATTTTCTACGAAATTAGATCGATTGTAGCCATTAACGAATGAAGCCATTCAAATTTTTGTTGAGAAGAATATATTGAATCGGCTGCAAAAAAGAGAAAAAAAGTTTTAATTTAAACGGGGCCGTCCATTATTTTATGGATGAAAACTAGATTTAATTTCTTTCGAAAACTATTTCCACATCCTTTACTTCAATATTATTTTTTTGATTTTTCCTCTTTCGATTTATCAGTTTTTTGATATTTTATGCCGGTAATAAATATATTAATAAATTTTGATTTTTAAATATTTTTTTATTTAATTTAAATATCTTTTTAAAATTATAAAAAAATTATTTTCTTAAACTCAGATTAGATAAAATTTAAAAGGAAAACAATTCAAGATGGGTCGACTGAAAAAGACACAAAAATTTAGCAATAAACTTCAACGATTGATAAAGCCGACGGATGACAGAATGTTTGTTTATTTTTTTAATGATTTTAGGGGTGAATATTTTTTGAGGGTCCTCTTAAGTTTGTGTAAGAAATTAAAGACAGTATTTAAAACGCTTAAAGGGAAGTGTATTAAAAAAGTTTGAAGCAGATATCGACAGCTTGTTTTGTGAGCGAATCCGCCTTTAAAACATCGATATTACCAATTTAAATAATTACGAGGAATTCGAAAATCAATCCTAATTTTCTTGTCATTTCCTCTTAAATTTCCTCTTCATTTCGTTCTCTTCCGGAATTAAAAATAATCAACTGAATTATTTTTTTTGGATACAGACACTCGACTAATTCGTGATTTTTATGGAGAAGAGTAAATAAAAGTTGAATGGTAAATTTGGGGAGATAAAGGAAAAGGATAATGGAAATATTTTTTTAAACCTTGTTTATTTTTAAAATTAATTTTTTCAGTAAAGAAGAGCTTCGAACTGTTCGACCTAAAACGGAAGACGAACAAGCATTAAAAATCAAAGAAGCGTAATTATCGAATTTTTAAATTTGATTTTTTATTTTAAATTTAAAGGCCTCGTATTTCTTCAGCAATGTTTTTAAAATACAACACCCAATTGGGACCTCCATTTCATGTTATTGTTGATACAAATTTTGTCAATTTTAGCATCAAAAATCGGATAGATGTTATGAAAGGATTTATGGATTGTCTTTTTGCTAAAGGTTTGGAGAAGTTTTTTTACAAAATTGGGGGGGGGGGGATTAGATAAATTTTCGGGACTTGGTTAGAATTCGGAGAACATTATTTATTGTTAGATTGACTGGCCATCGGTTGAAAGAAGCTTGAAAAATCTTCGGATATCTATAATATAACTGAAAGCCTAAATGAAAACTTTCATTTCCTAACCGGAAATCCCGGCTTTACCGCCAATTTTTGGGTAACCCTCATTTTCATCTAAATTTTTTCTCAATTTTAGTAATTCCATACATTCCTGATTGTGTTCTTGGTGAATTGGAAAAGCAGGGACGTCGTTTCAAATTGGCTTTGAAAATTATTAAAGATCAGCGGTTCCAAAGACTTCATTGTTCTCACAAAGGAATTTATGCGGACGATTGTATTGTTCAGAGAATTACTCAGGTTAATTTCGAATTTTTTAAATTAAGGAGTTTTCTTTTCGGTTCATATTCTAGTTATCCCGGTTCAGAGATTTAAAATTGTCAAGTGATTTTTAAAAATTAAAATTAAGTATCTATTTTAGCCAATAACCCTTATGGTCTTGGGATAATAAGAGGATTGAAAGAGAAAATTTCGTTACTCGGTACAAGTAGGCTTTACTGGTATTGAGAAGAGCCTTCTGTTAAACATGGCATTTCCATATTAAAAATATTTTTTTTAATTTTTTTCTTCAAATTTATTCTGAAATATCCCTCTTTTTCTAGCACAAATGTTATATCGTTGCTACTTGTGACAGAGATTTACGAATGCGTATACGTAAAATTCCAGGTGTTCCAATTATGTATATTCGAGATCATCGTTATACTATTGAAAGAATGCCTGGTAAATTACTTTTTATTTTTGAAAAAATTAATTTTATTTTCAGATGCTTATGGGGCACCAAAATTGTAAAGAAAAAAAAATTAAAATTTTGAGTTTATTTTTGTTATTTTATTTAAAAACGGAATAAAATAAATGTTTAGAATATTCCCTTATAAATTTTTTGGATTTCTATCTTTTTGGAAGATAAAAGTCTTTGTTTACATAAACTTTGTCTTGCAAAATTATGTTCACAGGGAAATTAATCAAACAAAATCTCATAATATGCTTCATCTTCTTTATTCCCTCAAATTCCTTTATCCGACTTAATCCAATGATATCTTTTAACTTCCCCTTGATCGATCCAGAATCCCTTTTATCACTCTACTATATCAAGCCCGTCAAATTCACTTTTACCCCAACACCTAATCACAATTCTTTTTAATCCTCGACAAAATTTCGGTTCAGTCGGTTAACCGAAAATTTCGATTAGTTTCGTTTAACCTTCGGTATGTTTTTGTTCGATTTCGTTTAACCGAAGGGTTTGATGAAATTGGCAATCCTACTTAGAACAAGTAAAAAATTTAAAGTGTAAATTTCATCTTTTAAATTTCATCTTCCTTTAACCTAATAAATAGTCAATTTTGTTAAAAATGTTCTGTTGAGGTTAATAATCAAAATGAAAATACAAAATTTTAATTTTTTAGTCAGCATAAAAATAATTGAAAAGTTTAGAAAAATATTTTGAAAATTAAAGTTAAAAATTAGATAAATTGGTGAATATTTAGTCAAAAACAAGTTTTGGTTATTTATGTAATATCGAGTATTTTTGATGATTATATTTAAAATAAATAAAGTAAAAAATATTTTTAGTGGTTATCTAGCTGTTGATTATATTTTTGTCAACATTAGTTATAATAAATCAGTCAAACTTTACCCATATAAATACAACCGGGAATCAAAAATTATAAATAAGGAGTATCCATTATTTGGGGATATCACTTAAACAGCTACACCTAATCAGTGGCCAACTAGATTTTAGAGTTTGTTAGTTGTTCACCATAAAAGTACCACCTGGACGTCCGAATTATCAATGTCACCTTTAATACCCAACAGACTAGATAACCATTTAAAAATATTTTTTAACCAAGAAAAATATTTTCGTCAACAAATTTCTTAAAAATTGTCCAATTACTTTCCAAAATCACTCTTTTCCACCTTTCAGACGAAGTACCAAATCAATAACCATAGTATTACTCTTAGTAACGTTGTAATCTTGCAGTGTTTCTATTTAAAAAAAGTTTATTAAGATAATTATAAAATTTTCTAGGCAAAATTGGGATTTAAATAGAAAAATCAGGTACATAAAATTTGTTTTTTTAAATTAAGGTCCCACTATGATTACAAAAAGACTTACTATCGTCTTCTAGCTGTTTGCCTCCATACGTCTAGAAATAATTAAAAATAATTTTTTTTAAAATTTTACTAGTTATATCTAGTGATCGGAGTTTCGTACCATATTGCCGACTGTAATACCGAGAAATACCAAAAATACCGATAATTTTTCATCAGTACCGTATTCCGTCCCGTAGTATCGTTACGAAATACCGTTAAATACCAAAAATAATGTCACAGTCCGGTACAGTCCGAAAAATGATTAAAGCTCCAACTATGATCATTTTGGAGACTTAATCAGATGAAAACCGACTGTAAACACACAAACATAAACAGGAAAACACAATATTTTAAAATTATTTTCTTACTAAACGTTGTTGTTCAACAGGTGTATTATTTGCCTGTTCAATTCTTCGTTTTAATTCCGGAACTGTAATATTTGCCTTAAATTTTAAATATAAGATCGAGAATTTTCCAATCTAAACCCTGAATAAAGATACAAGAAAAATCTAGTCTAACTAACAATAAGTTGAATAGAATAATGGAGGATCCAAGAACCTAGCTCACCTCCTGAAGAAAATATGTATATCTTTCAAGGATGGACTCAGTTTTTAACTGGAATAAATTAGTTGCACAAATTCACTTATAAATTTACTTAATCGAAAAAATTTGTTTTAATTTTTTTAATTTTAAAGGAAATAGTAAAAGTCATTTTGATATAATAAAACTTTCACCTCAATATCATTAATAGTAATTTTGACGTTATTCAAATCCTTAATAATAACATTGATTTTGTAGCTTTCCATTGGCTAAAAAATTAAAAATTCTTTTTACTGATTAAAACACTATTTATATTTTCATTAAACGTGAAATTTAATCATTAAAACCTAATTTATTTAACATTAAAATTGGGCTTTGCTACGGCAGCCGAAATAGATGATAACGGTCGCAGTAAAGTACGACGATCGTGTTAGAAGCAGTGATACTGGGGCTCCTGTTCCGGAACTGGAACCGATTTCGAAGGTACACCCCTAATAATTGGTGAAAGAAAATGAAGTGAGCAAAAGATTGGAGGCGTGAGAAGAAAATTTTTGCCGTTATTTTTCTTCCATTACTAATTAATCATCCAATTTTATCATTAACTTACAGCCGGATCTTGTATAGTCATATTACTTGTACTTTGAGTCAATTCATTATCAGAATCGCCATCATCGTTATCGGCTTGTTCAACATGAAGCAGTTTAATATCATCCAAAGTAGCATGAACTCGGCATCGAGGACATTGTTGACACTAAAAATGGATTTATTTTAATTTTGAATATTTTAAGTCGACTTGATGATTTTACAGAAATTGGACTGCTAAATAAAGCAGTTATTCCTTCAAAATTATTTTCAGATTAAAAATAAATTTCCTCACCCCTTCAGAAATCCAATTTGTAATACACTTTACATGGTATTGATGATTACCATTACAAGTCCTTAAAGTACAAACATTTTCACGAAGTAAACGTAAATTGCAAATATTACAACGCCCAAACTTGAAATTAGCCATTTTGTATCTAAATAAATTATTTAACTATATTTTTTTATTTAATAAACAAAAATATACAGTCAAAACAACTCTTTAAGATACACCTTTATTTTTTTAAATTTTCAATTTATTTTTCTTCTTCCTTCCTTAATTCCACTCTATTATCCGTAGGATAATAAAATAAGAAATTGAAATCAAAAAAGTTAAATTGAGATAACATTTTTCCGACGTAAAGTGCCAGCTTCCGTAGCAACAATATTTAGACTGATATATGCAAATGAAAATAAAGTGGAATTGAGGAAGGAATAAAATATATGACAATTATTTATAAGGAAACGGAAAATGACAACGAAATTCAAAATTTATCAAGCTATATTCCTAAATTTTCCAGCTCTATAGGTGCATTTTAAGAAAGGTGTTGAAATTTTTTTAATCCCTAAATTTTGAAGGAGGTAGAAAGCAATCGGAAAGTTTTAAATTAAATTTCCTTTTAGTTGCAGGCGGGGATTGGAAGATAATTTCAAAAATATCGAATTTATGTTACTTTAATTAAATTAAAAAGTTGGGAACTCAGTTAAAAATGAAATGAAAGTTTAAATTATTAAATGAGAATAATTCTAATTTAAAAAGTTTATAAATACTTTATATTTTACTCCTCCCATTGACCCGTCCTTCTCTATTTTTGCTTTATTTATTTATTTTTACCCAAAGCATATTTTTGAAAATATAATGTTTTATTAGACAAAGATAACCTTTTACATATATTAATACTTAATGTCTGGAATTTTAACCTTTATAATAAAACGATACTTAAATGTTTATGTAGGGCAATATAATATTCAAAAAAGAGAAAAATTAAATTGTAGATTTAATTTAAATTTGAGCCTTTTTTGTGTTAAAAGTTAGTTTTCGGGGATTGTTTTAACTCTCCATAAATTTTTAATTCAGTTCGCAGTGTGGAGAATTAAACTTCGAATTTCAAAACTCCGTCCAGACAAAACTACAACACACAAAACCCCGTCTTACCAAAATTTCGTTTCAATGGGTTGGGGGTAATGATGTTTGTTTTGGAGGAACCCTATTGACACTACATATGTGTATCGCCCCTTTGTATCAATGACACTTACTCAAAATCGAGCATTTTGAGTGTAGGTATAGAGAGACACCCACAAATTTTCGTTTTTTTCTATAAATAAGAAATTTCAAAGAAAAAACTTAAATTTGGTTTTTTAATTTTGAAAAACCGGGTCCGGCTCAGCCGGCAATTAAGTAAAAAATGTGTATTTTCTCTTTGAACGAAATTTTGTCTGGTCGAAGTTTTCCCCTGACATAGACCATTTTTTTCTAGAGGCCAGTTCTCGCATGAGACCAGTTCTTGCATCTTACTCTATCAATTCCCAATTTGATGATGAAATAATCATATTTAAAAACTAGTCCGGTTGTAGAGCCAAAATTATTATAGCCTAATAAAATTTTTATTTTTAATTCTGTATGTCTATTGTTTTTGAAATTTTCTAGAAATGGTATATTACAAACTTGGTCGTTGTACTGTTTGCCAATTTCGTTTAAAAGTTGAAAATGTTTATAATTTAAGAAATTGTAATCACACATTCCATAAAGAATGTATTGAAAAATGGATTACTGAAGGGGTGAGGAAATTACAGATTTTTTAAAGTTTGTTTTTAACATTTTTCAGTCAAACATTTGTCCTCGTTGCCGAGAATCTGCTACTTTAAATGATATTAAACAACTTTTTTTGGAAGACGCAGATGATAGTTCTGACGATTCTAGTGATGAGTTAATTCAAAGTTCAAGTGATTGGTCTACACAAAATTCTAATGTAAGTTGACAATAAAATTTGGGGTTAATTCACTTAATAGAAAATTCATTGAAATTTGAGATTATTCTCGACTTTTTCAGTCGAGTGGAAGCAATTATCTCCGTTCATAATCTATAACAGAGACCTGTGCAAGACGGTCGGGGGGATACCGTTCCGCATTTTGCGGGATACCGCTCCCGTAATCCCGCACTTTTTCGATCCGCATCCATTTTTAAAATTTACTCCCGCATGTGGATCTCGCAAACGTTTACTAGCCCCATAAATAATTTTTAATAAATTTTAGTTTGTTATTAGAGGATTCTAAATATTTTTTTCTTTGATAAAAAATTATTTTTAATTAAAATATAAAAATTAAAATTAAATTTATTTAGAAGGCAAATGATTTAACAAATAAATTGAACAATTTAAATTGTAAATATGTGGTTAGTTTGTAATTAAAATTAAAATTCTACATAATTTTTTAAAAGAATTTTGTTAAAATTAAAAATAAATGGATTATTGTAAACAATTGTTGTTTCAATAAATGTAGTGAAAATACAGACGACCTCCTTTCTAATAATTGTATTAAAGGAAATGGATTTGTAAAGTTAATTAATGATGAAGATATTAAATATATTAATTGTGTGAAGAAGGATGTTTTGGATGGAAGTATTGGGATTTTTTGAGATTTTTTTTGTTAAAATTATTTTTAGGTTATGATAAAAGAGTTGTTGTTTCTGCAGAAAATTCATTCACTAGACCCCAAAATTCTTCTAATTATTCTTTATTTTATTTTGAAATTAAATGTATTTTTGAGGGAGAATTTGTAAATAATAATGGAAAATGGATGGTTATTGGCCTTAAAAATTGTAATACAAATTCGAGAATTAAATATATTGCTAAGAATATTTCCATTTCGAATGAGAAAAATGAAGAATTTAAACTTTGCCAGACACTTTTTTGGAAGAATTATTATACTTTTGGTTGTGGAATAGTCTATCCTGAAACTAAGGGAATAAATGAAGAATTTCCTTATATTTTCTTTACACAAAATGGGAAACAAATTGGTAATTATTTAAAAGAAAGTTGAAATGGATACGGATAATATCCGGATACACACGAATGGATATGCTTCGAAAGCGACCAAAAATCCGTGTCCATCAGGGCTGTACGCAATTGCGGATTGCGTGGTTTTTTTGGTCTTGCGGATTGCGGCTGTTGAAATTTTTTAACTTGCGGACAGCCCAGATGTCCAAGTCTTATATTTAATTAAAATTATTATAAATATTTGTTTTTTAAAGGTAAAGGAATATTATTAAAGGAGAATTCTGACTCGTATAAACCTTATGTTCTCCTAAGTTGTTGTTCTGGTGAAGCAAATTTTGGAAATGATGTGGAGACTAGACCATTTAGATATGATATTTTAAAACATTCAATTACAGAATTTTATTGAAATTTTTTAAAATTATTTTTGCTTTTGAGTTTATTTGTCTTGATTTACAATTAAAATTATCAATTTTAATTCTTTTGAATTTTAAATAAATTAAATTTTTCTAAATTTCCTTTAAATTACTACTTTTATTTTATTTTGCCTCTACATTTTGGGTAGACATACTTTTTTAAAAATATTCCATGTAGGACGATAGCTTGCCAATAAAAATGTCTGGGTCATTTACAACCCGACTTTAAAACCTAAAAAATTGAAAATGTACTAATTCGTAAGTACGTACTTATAAATAGACTTTTAGGTTAAAAAATGAAATTAAATTAACCTTAAAATTTCTAAACTTTTCGCCTGTGGCTTTAAAAAATTCCCGCTGGAAACGAGAAATTGTTGAAAAATATTTATTTGGAAGAAAAAAAATTTATTTTGAAATCCATAAACTTTAAATTTTTTCAATAGATGCTTTTATGCTAATTTAAATTATTTAAATCCTTAAACTTTTACTTAATTTTTTATTTTTTTAATTTTAAATATTTTTGTTTTAAAATAACTAATTGTTAATTAATTTCATTGTTTTCTCTCCATATTTTTATTATTTTCTATATTCTCCATATGTATTTTAATTAATTTTCAGTATATTATTTTTAAGAAATGAATAAAAAACGAACCCCAAAACAATTAGAAGAATGGTCATTTTCTACCAACAATTCTGAAAAAAATAAAATTGAAGATGAAATATTTGTAGAAGAAGAAGAATATTTATTAAAAGAATTAAAAGAAATTTTGGAAGAAGAAAATTATACAGAAAAAAGTTGTAGTAATTTGAAAACATGTACTACAAGTAATTGTTCATCATCTTTTTGTGGTTCTTGTTGTTTATCAAAAAATATAAATGAAAGTTTAAAACAACATTTGGAGAAATTAGAGGTTAATTGTTTTTTTTTGTTGTTGTAAATAACTCAGACAGATCTCACCTGCACGACACCATCTTCCCTTGTAAGAGAAGTTCTCTTTAGTGAAGATTTTCTCTGCACGGGAGGTGATACAAGAGATTTAGGGTTTTTCTGCAAAAAAGTGTTCGTGCAAGTGAGACTCGACTTTATTTAAAAATAAATTTACTATATTTTAGTTGAAATTTGAAATTAATAATTTAAAGTTGGAAAAGGCAAGTTTTGTCTAAGAAATATTTTTTAAAAATATTAATTTTAGAAAATTCAAAAATTAAATTTTGAACATAGAAATGAAATTGAAGAATTAAAACAAAATATTAAACAATTAATTGAGGAAAATAAAAAATTAAAAACTGAAAACAATAGAAATTTAATGGAGAAAGATTATAGGATTAATTATTTAGAAGAAGAAATTAAAAATGTAAATAATTAATTTAATTTTTAAATAAATAGGCGCAAGAGTTTTATTCCAAAAAACGTCCAAAGTCAATGAATTTCGCCCAAACCTGATATAAATTATTGTCTCAATGAGTATTAATCCTTAATTTGTGGGGAACATTCTAAAAATTAACTAGAAAAATATCAATGATCCGAAAAAATTTGATTTTTTATTTATTACTCGTATTAACTTTAGAAAATTCAAAAGATAAATTTTGACCATAAAAAAGAAATTGAAAAAATGAAGCAGAATTTTCAAAAATTAATTGAAGAAAATACTAGACAATTAAAAACTGAAACTGATATTTCTTTAAAACAAAAAGTCGAAAAAATTAATTTTTTGGAAGAAGAAATTAAAAATATAAATGATTTAATTGAGAAAAAGTTTGGTGATTTAACAATTAAATTGAATAATATTTCTTGTAAATATGTGGTTAGTTTATAATTAAATTTAAAAAATAATTTTTTGAAAGAATTTTGTTGAAATTAAAAATAAATGGAGTGAATTGATGGTAGATACAAATGTTGTTCCAAAAATTGTATAAATACAAACAAACCTATCGGTGATTGTATTAAAGGAAATGGATTTGGAAATTTAATTGATGAAGAAAATATTAAATATTTGGGTGGGGAAGGTAATTGAATTTTTGATAATATTCTATCTAGTTTACTGGTCCCATGAAAAAATGAGCAGTAAGTGTTTTTTCGATATTTTTGAGGGTTGCCAACAGGTAATCGAATGTATTGAGTCCGAAATTAGTTCAAATTTTATTTATCTTTTAAGGCTCCGTTGAACTTCGTTTAAAAGAGTCGAAACACAATAAATTTGATACTATCCAACTAAGCTCGAAGAGCCGTGCAAGATTAACTCTAAAATTTCAATTTCGAATTTTTAACTCGAATCCGCCTGGTCGGATTCGTGTATGTGGCTGAAATGAACAAATTCTAAGTTCAGAACACTCGATTACCTACAACTTCCGAAAGAATAATTTGTGAACATTTTTTCTAGGGCTAGTGAACGCTTTAATTTTATGTAAATTTTTAGGTTATGATAAATTTGTAGTAGTTTCTGCAGAAAATTCATTTAAAAGACAACAAAGCTCTCTCAATTATTTTTTCTATTATTTTGAGGTTAAATGTAAATTTGAAGGAAGGAACGGCAAAACAAGGATGAATATTGGTCTTAAAAATTGTATTACAAATAGAAATATTTTATATCTCGCAAAGGTTGCTAAAATAGTAAACGAGAAAGATGAAGAATTTAATCTTTCAACGAATTTTAATAATAATGATATTTTTGGGTGTGGATTAGTTTATCCTCCAAGTAACAAAATTAATTATAAATTTCCATATATCTTCTTTACACAAAATGGGAAACAAATTGGTAAAAGAATTAATTTAAAAATTATTTTATGAAAATTATTTTTAAAGGCAAAGGTATTCTGTCAAGTAAAAATTCCAACTCGTACAAACCATATGTTTGGTTTAAATGTTGTTCAGTTGAAGCAAACTTTGGAAATAATTTGGAGACTAAACCATTTAAATATGATTATTTAAAACATTTAATTTTGGAAGAATTTTATTGAGAATTTTGTTGATTAATTTTGTTTCAATTCTACTCGTTTTGATTTACGAAAATATTTCTGAATTTATTAAATAAAGTATCCAATTGAAAGACTTTATCTAAATAAATTTAAAAATATTTTCCCAATATAGAATTAAACAGAAATTTTCTTCTAGAAAAATATTTTTTAAGTAAAATATTTTTAAGATAATTAACTTTTTATAAAAATTTCAAATGTGATTGAGGATTAGTATATTAAATAAATAACTAATAAAAAAATATAATTATTAACCATTTTATTTTGACCTAAAAAAAATTATTTATTCAAGAAAAAATGGCAAAACTATCGTCCCCTTTCGAGAGAAAATAAAACATTTTTTAAATTTATTCCTTTAAAATTTTACACAAATTTTTAATATTTACAGTGGTGGTCATATGTTTATGGACAACACTTATTTATTAATAAAATCCCTCACAACAAAACTAAATATGAATCAATCGGTAATGAAAAGCGGTTATCTAAATACTCAGTTCATTTAGTATAAAATACTTTAAGTTTCATTAAAATCCGCCATCATTATCATAATTGAAACCCGGTCTAAATCTCTCAACCCTTTTTTCAACGCGTCATATGTTTATGGACAAATTTTTTTCTATCTAAAACTTTTTAGATTAATGCCAAAAAATAAGATTATCGCTACTCCGTGGGCATCTTTTTTGATATTAAGTAGAAAATAAAAAGAACGGAGTCTTTAACTTCTATTTTTATCGAGATATCAAATCTCGAAAATCAACGGGAAAATGGGGTACAGTACTTTAAAAAATATTTTAACCCCCTAGGGCTTAAACAAAAAATTTCGTTTTAGGCTCATTTGAAAGCCCTTAAAATTTGCTACAAAATAGCCAATGTTTTTATTTTTCCAATAAAAATTCATGGAGCTGAAGGCAGGACAATTTTTATGTTATCATTTTTGGGGTGTTTTAAGGGATTTTTGACCATTTTTATGTGAAAGTCGATGTGAGTCGAACAACTATTTTTTAGAATAAATGAGACCAGGACTATTTTGTAGCAAATTTTATGGGATTTTTAATGGGCCCAAAAAGAAAATTTTTTTAAAAGCTCTAGGGGGTAAAAATATTTTTTGAAGTACTGTACCCCCATTTCCCGTTGATTTTTGAGATCCTAAATCTCGATGAAGAAAGTAGATACAGACTTCGTTCTTTTTACTTTTCTATTCAGTATCTATGAAAATGTTCACAGAAATTTTTGTAGAATTTTTGCACCAACTAAAGTAGGAAAATCCTAAGTTACTTAATTTGTCCATAAACATATGACGCATTAAAAATAGGGGTGGAGAGATTTAGACCGGGTTTTAATTATGATAATGAAGGTGGATTTAAATGAAACTAAGGTATTTTATAGCAAATTAACTGGGCATTTGGACCACCGAATTATATTATTGATTTATTCTTATTTTGTTTTGTTATGAGGGATTTTGTTGATAAATGGTTGTAGTCCATAAACATATGACCACCACTGTATATAAATTTTTGATCAATAAAAAATAGACTTTTTATCCTTTTACCCCGTCATTCTTTTCCTAAAGTTTTAAAAAGTTTACAAAAAAAGTTTTACAAAAAAAACTTTGCGAAGAATAAAAAAAAGAAAATAAATTTATTTTAAAGTTTAAGCATTATAATAGAATTAAATAAAAGTAATCAACTAACAAAAGAGGGGGTAAAAAGTAAAAACATCTTTTACTATCTTATTTTACAATCTTATGTATTAATTATTCAACATTTATAACTTTTAAATAATTTTATTTTCTCTCATAATTTTGTTTTTTAATTTTATTTTTATTTAAATATACTATGTCAGTAGAAAATTTTAATTTCAAGTTGCCATAATTGTTATACTTTTATGGAAAAATTATGCTTTAAGACTTTGTATAACTTTATTTTCTTTTTCAGTCAAAAATCTTTATATAAAAATGTATTTCCTTCCACCAGAAGTTCAACTAGATATATTAAAACACCTTAATTTCACTCAATTATTATCAATCCAACAAACAAATATTTATTTCAAAAATTTCATTAATCAATGCGAAAGTCTATTGGCACGGAAAGAAGAAGATCAAATCGGATTTGTGATTTTTTACAAATTAATTCTGCTAATTTGTACTTTTTTTAGTCTTCCGTCAATGAGTTATATTTAAATGAGTATAAACTTTACAAGCCAGATCCGAAACTTTATGAATTTAAATTGAGTGAACAGCTCGAGGAAAAGGTTAAAAATTAATGATTTTTATTTTAAAATAAAATAATTTTAGTGGAAATGTGCTATAGATAAATCGATTCCAATGTTTTTAAGCTGCAATGATGATGATAGGATGAATATTGTTGATGTTTCCTTGTTTGAGAGTAATCCTTCTTCCGATTGGGGTCAGTTATTTTTAAATATATCCCGAAATATTTTCACCCTTTTTTCATTACTTTTGTTTCCTTTTGCTTTATAATAGGGTTAAAAATGAACGGTAAAATTTCTTAAAAATTTTTAAAATTAAAATAAAATTTTGAAATAAAATTTTTTAACATATTTTAAAAATCATCTAAAACGATCTACCTCTAATCCCTCAATATCATTGTTAATCCCCAAACTCTTCTAAATTACTATACAAAGGGGCGGTTGGTGGTTAAATGACTAGGTAACCTAACCACAAGGTCATGGTTACCTATATGTTACCTATATACTACAGGCCTAGAAGTATCAAATTTTTCAGGAAAATAATTTCCGGAAAATGTTCCGGAAATTTGGTTTCGGGAATATTCTCGAAAAATAACTTTGAAAAAATCCGGAAAATGGCTTTTGGAGTAGTACAGCTTTTCCGGAAACCATTTTCCGGCCCGAAAACCATCTTCCGGAAACCATTTTCCGGAAACCATTTTCCGTAAACCATTTCCGGATTTTCCGGGAACAAGAAGAAAATAGCAAATAGGAAATAGCAATAGAAGAAAATAGCAAATAATTTACTGAAAATCCGGAAAATGTGTTCTGTAAAGATTGTATTCGTAAAATCCGGAAAAATTATCTCCGGAAAATCCAGGAAACAGTTTCCAGCAGCATTTGTTCATTATTTGGGTACTCAACTGGCCAGTTCCATCTTTTCGGGTAAATAATAAATGTGTTAAACTTTGAATTTATTTTATTTGAAATTGAACATTTTAATGATTTCACTAATATTTGAATGTATCCTTTATTTTCTGTCGCCAGTAGTAGTATATAATCTGCAGAAAATTCTAAATGCTTTTTTTCTTTGGATGAAATTATTTTTTTAATTTTTTAATCATCAAAATTTTATTTAGGATTACTGAAGTTCAATTTGCCAAATTATCCAAAAAATGTTGAAGAAATGAAAATTGCTCGTTATCTTTTTCGACAAATTTTTAAATGCTTCTTTAGAAATGCTACATTAGATTCGGTGATGTATAAGCGCACTTGAAAAAAATCTATTTAATCAAAAATACTTAAATTGTAAACATGGTGAAATTATTCAAATTATTTCACAGAATTTAAAATTTTCAAAGATACGTTTAATTTTTGTTGCAAACAAGTATTCTTTGGATTTTCGTCTTTCAAACATAAGGAAAAATCTACGGTAATATGCATTTATCCGCCCGCATTTTCCTTTTCTTGTCAAATAAAAATAACTGTCAGACGATATGTTGTATTTCAGAATAAGTAATGTGTCATTAATTTAATTGAGACTATGTCGTAACTAAACAGCTTCAGCAATTAGAACCTATCCCAACGTTGAGTGTGTACTTCTATTAGAAATAAGTTCACTGTATTCTCAAAATTCTTTTTTAGGAATAGAGAGATCTTTTTACCCAGAATTATGCTACACATGGCCAATACCTGACCATAGGCCCTAACACGAAGAGCTGTGTACTTATCGTCATAGAGTATTATTTGTGACTTAAGCAATTTGGTCCACTAAAGATTTTCTATAAGCATTTTCTATAAACGAATATTGTGTGACCCTTATTTGTATTTGACTATTTTGTTATATATATTTATGAGAAAGGAATAGGAAAGGGAAATGCGTCCAGATAAACGCATAGTACCAAATCTACATACATAAATTCCAACAAATATAAAAATTGATACTGAAAAAATGTTATAAACATGAAAATCCAAAAATGCGCAAATAAGTAATATTTGGTTAATCAAATCTCGAGCTAATAATTTTTTGAAGTACGCTTATACTTTTGAGCCGCGCTCTTGTATACTCAACCCAAAAATGATTGAACTATTATTTGAAGAGAATAAAACAAATATGGACTTAAATATTCACTCTCAATTTGCCATCTATTCATTGTCTGAAAGTACAGATAATGAGAAAATTAAATATTTTTTAACATTTGCATTGAATCATCTGATCTCAAATGAACTTAGGGTTAAAATACCTCATCCTTATACCAATATAGACAAGAATACGGACATTTTATTTGAAATTTTGACAAATGGAGGCAATCAATTTTCTAAGGTTTCGTATTGGTATCCGTATGACCTGCCAACTTCTCATAAATTGCCGAAGATTTACAATACTATTATAGAGGTATGTTTCAAGGATTTTACGGGATGGTCGGTTTTGAAAATCTCTAGTCGGGTTTTGAAGATTTCCTGGGGCGGGTTTTGGGTAAGCTAAAAGCTATTGCGGTTTAAGTTTTTAAAAAAGTCAAATTAAGATTAAAAATATCTAATTTTAGCATATAGAAACATCAAAGGACATTTCTAAAATGGTCAAAGAAATTGAGTTACGCGATACTCCTGGGCGTATTATTTTAAGTGCTAGAGCAGAAAATATCGAAATTAAATTTAAAAACATCTACTATAATTGGAAATTTACAAAGTATCAACTTTCCAATAAATACAATCCAAAATTAAAGTTTTTAATTTGTAATGAGGAAAAATATTTTGGCACTGATGTTGAAATTAAAAAAATTATTTTATAGATTTTTATTTGATTTATCGCGTTGGTTTAAATGTTAGCTTTGTTTTTCTTATTTGATAAAAATGATTTTTATTTTTTTTTCAAAAATTAGTTGAGATTTACAAATATTTTTTAATTGTTTTAAAAACATTTCCCAAATATTTTCCAGGCATTTCCCAAAATATTTAATGAAGGTTTTATTTAAATTGGTAATCCTGCAGAATCCGGATTATTTCGAAAAAAATTTAAGGTGTTTTTAAGGTGTCTCCCAGAGCCTGCAGGATTACCTTTAAATTCAAATAAAACAAGAAATAATAATAGAGACAAAACAATTTAAATAAGACATTTCAAAACATTTAATTCTCAAAGAATTTTATTTAAAATTTTATTATTAAAAACACATCTTATCATTTTATTCAAATGTTTTGTGGGACATTTAATTAATTCGAGTAACAATAAAAAATCGTTCATTTATTTTGATTTTTAAATAAAAATTTGAATTTTTGAATTTATTATTTTTTTAGATTATACATAGTAGTTAAATACAAAATTTGATGTAGAAAAAATTATTATAAATCAAAAGGAAAATATTTACAAAAATAGTGTGTGACTAGAAAAAAATAATAATGAGATCATTAACTTCCCTTAATTATATGTGGTATTTAAATAGAAAATAGTAAATTTATAAAATTATCAAAAAAATAAAATATTTTTAAATTTTGTTTTGTGTAATAGAAATTTAAAAAATTAGAGGAATTCTTTGAATTTTTAGTTAAATTATTGTGAAAAAATAAAAACTTTTTAATAGAATAATTTTAAATCTGGAATATATTTAGTATTTAGATTAACAAGAAAAATCTTTTATTAAAAATAAAAATAAAGCTTTAATTTAAAATTTTCTGTACATTTCTCCCTCAAAACCCATTTCATCTATTTTCAATTTTATTTTTTCTCATTTAAAATGCTTGAATATTATGCCATTCAGAAATATTTTCATAATTATATCCATTTTTATTAGTATATCCATTGCCTTGAAAAGCAGCCACAAATTGGGGTGATTCTGCATCAATTGTGAATTGACCGATTGGTTCGTTTCGTTTTACTCCTTTAAATAGATAATTATTTGTTTTTAAACAGATCTTTGATTTTTTTAGATTTTTGTAAAAAAAATTTTTTTAATATTGAAATTCTGGTTTAATAAAAATTTTGGAAATTTTTTCCCATTTTACTATTAATTTAATTTTAAATTTTGATTTTTTAATTTCCATTATAATTCCTAAAAAATAGTTATTCCATAATATCGGCCCTCCTCTTCTATCTGCTAACTCCTACTCACCATCATGATTAAACAAAACAACTTGGAAAGACAACCCTTTAGGTATTCCATCACTTCCAATCCCAACACTTTCAGGCAATACAAAATTTAACCAATCATCTTGTTTAAATAAAGGTGTTAATGTTCTTTTTTGAACACGAGTTTTGTGTTTTGCTATTCGTTTAGTTCCATTAATTAATGCATAAATTTTTGCATATGGATCTTTAAAAGAAAGGAATGAATAAATAGTTTAATTTTTCTCTTTCTTACCAGGAAGTCCCAAAGTCGCATCTTTAGGTAAATCAGCCATTTCCTTCAATGCAAACTGTACTTGACGTGTTTTTGCTTCAAAATCCAAAGAAACAAGTGCTTTACCTCTATTATTATTATTAAAATTATTTTCTTCTTCATTTTCTTCTTTAAATTGTTGCCGTGCCTCCCATTTAAGAGAAATATTACAAGGTTCTCCTCCTAATGATAAATCGGCAGAAGAGAGAGAATATAGAGCCTTTAAAAAATTTTTAATTAAATTTACGCACGACCCCCGTTCGTGTGTAACGAACGGGGTCACCCCCATTCCCGAAAGATTTTCTCTTTCCCCGACTCGAAACAATTCGTAAAACCGTACCCCGACATACCCGCCCCCGAGCGTTAGGGGTGAAACCCTAGTTAAATTTCGGTATTTTTTACAAATCTTGTGGACAGACGGAAATGTTTCATGGATATTTCCTTCTATTCAATACCAAAAAAATATTTAATATTCCTATTACCTCCCCCAAAACAGTATCTCCATTATATCTATCAAAAGCCAAAGCAGCCAAATGTAATTGACAATTATTTAAAGTTTCTGCCCCCAATCCATACATTGTAAAAGCCTCGTCAAAAATAGGTTCTGTTGTGTCTCGAAGAATTCTGGTCTTTACTCGGTGTTGGCCGTCTGGGAGAAGACGAAGTTTTATATATGGATTTAGTGGAGTTGAATCAGAAAATTTGGGAAGGCCGTTACAGGCGAGAACTGTGATCTAATAGAAAAAATAAAAATAATTTTTTTCAAATTATCTCTGAGTATTTTTAAATGTTTTTTATTAAAAATTAATATTTTTATTCACTTGTAAAGCCAAATTATTCGCATCATAAGCCAACTGTAAAGATACAGAGCCCCTTCCTCTTTCTTTATCAACAACCAATTCTGGAGGGAAATTCCCCCCATTATTGGCAGAACCGAATCCAAGGTGTTGCTGCCCGGTGGGGAAGCTTCGACGTTTTTCTGTTCCGTTAAACGAAATTGTTGTTGTTGGGGGTGGGGGTGCTGAAACACGCCCGCCATTATTTCCATAAGGGATAAAATTGATGCCGGTAAATGGACTGCCTTTAAAAGACGGAATTTAGAATAATTAGAATATTATTTCTAAAAACATTCTGATTTCATAAACACAAGAACAATGTTTTTGCAAAACCAAAACACGTAGAACACATAAAACAAAAAATTTATTTCTGGAAACATTAAGTAATCAAAAGGAAAAATACTAGGTAATAGAGATCGAGATTTTTGAAAAGCCTGGGCCTGTTCCTGGGCTCTGGATTTGATTTATTGGCCTATTTTCCTGTAGTCTAGGAAAAACACAGGCCCAGGAAAAACCCAGGAAAGTCAAAAAATGTCTGGGCCTTGACTCTGGGTACAGGAAAAACCCAGGCCTTGGTCCAGGCACAGCTCGCTCTCTGCTAGGTAATTTCTGAAAAAAGTTCAGAGCAACACTAAAACAAACTGGAATAAAATAAAAATGTTCATAGAAAAATCAAAACAAGCAAAACATGTTTTTCTGGAAGTTTAAAAATAAACAGAAAAAGCAAAAACACTTTACTAGAAAAATAAAATACACACTTCCGGAAGCAGTTGAAGAAGAAAACACAAAAAAACATAAAATACAAACAACAAATTAACGCAATAAAAATAAAATACAATCATTTCCGGAAAATACGTAATAAATTAAATAAGAAAAACACATTATTCTCAAACAATCTCTTTCCAATTTACCTTGTGTATTTGTTCCACCCAATAAATATTGTTGTTGATGTTGTTGATGAGGATGATTGTGTCCGTATGGGGACATTGGAGAAAGGGAATGTGCGGATGAATAGGTAGATGATGAAGAGGACAAAGAGTAGTCTGAACCGCCGGGGCTAGAACATTTACGTAAATTCTGAAAAATAAAAACAATTTTTTTTTGTTTTGTTTTTAAGTTTTGTGTTTTTAAATTAATTTTGTATTTGATGTTTTTGTAAATTAAGTTTATTTATTTATGTGTTTTGTTTGTTTATAGGTTGTGTTTTTAGATCTTATGAAGTGTTTTGTTTTATTTTTATGTTTTGTGTTTTTGTTTTAAATCAATGTTGTATTTGATGTTTTTGTAAATGTAAATTGAGTTTGTTTATTTGTGTTTGGTTTGTTTGTAGGTTGTGTTTTTATGAGTGTGTTATGTTTTGTTTCTAAATAAGCGTGTTTCATAAGTTTTGATGTTTAGATTTTATTCTGATTTTTATTTGTTTTGTTTTTTGTTTTATGTTTTTAAATGTTTTTGTGTTTTCTTGTTTTGTTTGTGTTTCTAAACAAGTTTAGATTTTATTCTGATTTTTAAATGAATAAAATACAAATTTATTTCTTCAACAAAACATGCCTGGTTAGAACATCTCAAATATTGTGGTGGAGGTAATGGTGGAGGTATCGCTTGACTTGCAGAATGGTGACGCTGCCCATAAGCAGATGCTGAGGAAAATTTGTGAATTAATGGAGAACGGGAAGTGCTAGCTGAAGAAGATGCACGTCGACGTTTTCGGTGTTGAATAGCAGCAAAAAATGCCAAAAGGACAATGAAAACGCAGAAACCGGCGCCTACAGCCAACATTTGGGAACCTAAAAATTTTTGAATTTTTTTAAAATTTTTTAATTTTAAAGACAGAAAAAACAATTTTTATTTTTTTACCAAAGGAAATAGCATTTCTTCCACTCGGCCCGATAGGAGGTGAACGTATTGGAGATGAAGGGCCTCTGTCATTACGAAAAAATAGAGCTTCTTCCCCTTCTTCCATTTAATATATGAGGGGATATTTAATCTTTAAATTATTTTAAAATTAAAAATTAAATTTTTAAAGAATACGCAAATAAAATAATTGTTTTAATTCATCAAAATTAAAAATAAATAAATTATTAATAATAGAAGGAAATAATTAACAGATTAAAATTTAAGGAAAAAAATTATATAATTAAAACAAATTTAAAAAATAATATGTACGTATTTCCTGTTTAATATAATTTAAATGAAATAATCCTTTATATTTTTAAAGAGGAAATTTAATTTTTTTCTTAATTTTTGTAAATATTTACATATTTCCTTCTCGAGAAGAAATTAAATAAATTTTTAAAATTTAAAAAAGCTGAAAATTATTTTATAAATTTAAGGAGTAACGTCTAGTCAAAAATTTAAAAAAAATTTGAGACAAACCCCTTCATAAATGTTTAATAATTTTAAAAAAATAAAATAATTTTTTGTTTGTTTGAAGCAATAATGAGTTGGTTGATGTGGACGCTTATAAAATAGTAAGAAAATTTAGAAACTTGAAATTTTGTTCTGATATCCCCAAAAGTGTTAATTAACTTAAATAAAAATTTCAGAATTTTTGGGTAATTATTTAAGAAGTTAAAAACAATAAAAACGCAAAAACCCATCGCCTATAGCCAATAAATTCGATTCTGGCTAGTTTTTTGACTATACTTAAGAAATATTTAACAAAAATTCTGAACTTTTTAATACAGTTAGATAACACGATCAAAAATATAAATAAAATTTAATGACGATAAGTTATTATTTAACTTTTTAATAAAGCAACAACGTGTTAAATGTGTCCTCGCAAATGCCCTAAAGTACTCAAGGCAAAAAAAAAAATTTTTAACAAAATAATTTTAAATAAACAAGTACTTTTAAGAGAGTTAACCATAAAAAATACGTTTTTAGATGAAAAAATATGAAAAAAGGTTGTTTAAAATAAATTTACATAAATATAAATAATCTTGACTTTGTACCCTTAGAAACAAGAAAATAATATTTAATGGAATAAAAAATATTTGTTTGTTAAATTGACGAAAAAAAATAAAAATATTTGAAAAATAAGTAAAAATAAATATAATTTTTAAAATTAATAAAAAGGGTAACTGGAAGGGTACATTTTAATTAGAGACAGTCTACTCCAAGACATTAAACTAGGCTTATGAAATTCAGATCTAGATAATTTTGGTATGATTCGTCAAATCTTGCCGAGCTAAATCGGGTGGTAACAAGAAGGATTCCTATGCCATTTTTACGTTTAGTTATGGCTTTGGGGTAAACTAGTGGACATAATTTCCAATAGGGCATAATGACAGCCAATCTTCTCTATAAATTTTCTAAGTTTTTGGTTAAAAATACATTAAATTATTTAAAAACTTAATAAATTAAACACCAAAAATTAAAAATTAAATATTTTTAGAATAAAAAGTTAAGAAAATAAAAATACAAAATATTATTTCCAAAAATGGCAAAATTAAATTAAAATAAATTTCATTATTTTCCCTTTTTATATATAAAATGTCCTAATGATTCAATTTTAAAGAGGAAATTAAACAAAATACTTTAAAAGAGGAGCTGAAAATAAGTTTAGATATATGTCAGGCATGTTTGGGCGCATAAATAATTTGGCGCGGGAGCTTATATAATTATCAGAAGTTAATCTAAAAATCTAAAAATCTGAAAATTTGCTTGAATTTGCTTGAATAAATTTAAAATTGTTTTCTAATTATTCGAAAAATTTCAGAATTTTTGGTCAATTATTTCAAAAGTTATGAGCAAAAATATATCACAATCTGGTTTTAGTTCCAGAATTTTTTGATCATGACTTTCGAAATATTTATCAAAAAATCTGTGATTTTATTAGATAACCCTATAAAAATATTTGTTTAAGTTCTCATTATCAGGTACTTTTAGATGTCAACGCCCACCCATTACCGCGCCCACCCGTCTAGTCTCATTTTAAATAAAATGATGGAAATTTGTATAAAAATGTGAAAAAGACGTAAATGCCAAGGATTATATATATGTATATAAATATTTATTTTTTATGTCAATGTCGAGAGTAAATTGCATTTTAGATGGCCAAAGAATTTAAAATAAAATATAAATGCGCAGAGAGAAAGAAGAAAATTCTAAATAAGCGCAATTGCCTTGGCAACGAAAAATAAAATAAAGAACGTCAATAAAGAGCTAGTTAAAATATGCTTTTGAAAATAAAAAAAAAACTCCTAATTATTTATCAAAAAAGCAGAAAAATTCTTTAATTAGGAAATTTTTGTAGATTTAAATTATTAATTTAAAGACAAAAAAATTTTGATTATTTAATTATAAAATAAAGGGAAAAACTAAAAATTAAATTTGATGTTAGATAATTTAGCAAGAATTAAGAAGAAAATGTCCCTCCTAAAGGAAAAATAAGGCGTGGTAACGCTGATTTGTAAATTTATAAAATAGCTAAAATATAACGTAGAAATTTGAAATTTTGTATAGATACTCTAATAATTTTATCTAAATTGTCTAAAAATTTCAAATTTTGTTTTTATTTCAGAAGTTATAGGCAAAAAAAGTCGAAAAATGGTCCAAAAATTTAGACAAAAATTTTTTGAAAAATAATATTTTTGCCCATAACTTCTGAAATGATTAATTAAAAATTCTGTAATTTTTAGACAGTTTAGATAACACTATCAAATACAGATTTCCAAAATTTCTTGTCCCTGAGTCCTTTTCTGACTTTTTTATAAGTGCGCAACCAAGTCTTTACCACGCCCTACAACAGAATGTTCTGGCAAAGAAATTTTTATTTTACTCAAAAAAGCCAAAGAATAAAAAGCCTTTTAAAGCTTAAATTGTATTTCACAAAAAATAATTAAAAATTGTATTTATAAAAGAAAATGGGTGGCTTTTTAAATTAGTTATGTTAAAAAAATTATTTTCTTAGAATTTTGCAAGGTGTTGAGAGAAAGAATTATTAATTCAAAGAATGTTTAAAATAAAGGCATGAAATTATAATTAATTTATAAATATTCTAAATTAATAATTTAAAGAAAAATCAGAAAATGAAAAAAAGGGTAGAATAAAATAAATAATTTTTAAATTAATTTTCAAAATTAAATAATTGGGGGAAGGATTTTTCTCTCTATAAATTCAAAACTATATACATATCAGGGATCTAGTCGACATAAAAATTTAATTCCCGATTTTCGAGAATCAGGAATCCCTCCTTCCTGTCCTCCAAATTCTTCCTTGTTCTTCCTTAGATCTTTCTAATTTTTCACCATCTTCTAACCAAAAAATTCTGCAGGCAAACATTTTTGATTCTAATGTATCCAGGTCGGCTAGAACCCTGATACATATTATTTAAGAACAGAATTCCGTCAAACAGAAATTTTTGGTTATTCAGCTTTTACAGTTCTAAATATTCTAAATTGTTCCCGACGCTTAATACCGTAAAATTAATTTAAAAAAAAATTTATTTTTAAACATAATTTAAAAATAATTTAATAAAAAAATAAGTCACAAGTTTACATTTAATTAAAAGTAATTTAAGGGAAAAAATTATAGAAAATATTAAATTAATTTAATATTTTTCAAAGAATTCATTAAAAAAATAAAAAAAATAATAAAATTAAAAAATAAATTAAATTGGCGTAAAAAAGCTTTAAATAAATAAAAATTAAATAATAAATTTTAATTTAAAAATATGTAAATCTAAGGGAATTTATTTGAAAGTACTCTTAATTTTAAAAATTTAAAATATTAAGGAAACAAAATTATTTTTTATTTATCCATTTTATTGCTCGAAGCCTACCTTTAGGCACTTAATAATAAAAAATATTTTTTTCTGGAAATTTTATAAAAATATTTTTTAAAAATATTTGTTAAATAAAGCATAAAAATAATAAATATTTTAAGGGGATAAATTTAAAGGAAACAATTACATATTTTTATTCCAAATTTAGAATAAAAAAATTATTTTTGGATTTTTAAAAATATTTTTTTAAATATTTTTAAGAGAAATAAATAAATAAAATCTAGAGTTGTACCCCGACCCCGTACCCCGAACCCCGACCCCGTTCCCGAACGATTTTTTCACGATTCTCCCCGACCCGAACCCCGCCCCGAAAAAAGTGAAAACCCCGTTCCCCGGCCCAAAAAGTTTCGGGGTTATCGGGGTTTTATATACCCAAAAAATGCCATTTTTGGGAGAATTTTAAGAGAAAAATTTTAAAAATTTACTCCCAATTTACTTTGCCTTTATTATTTTTGAAAGAAAAATGAATGAAATATCATAATTTTCTTTCCTTCTTTATTACGAGACTTGTGGTTGAGTGGATTAGTAGTTGGTTTTAGTCGATATTTCATTAATATAGGATTGGGTTCGGATCTATATAACGAGAACTCTGTTATATTTATATTTTTTTACAAAAACAAATTATTAACGAGTTAAATTTTAATTTAAAAATATTAATTTTATTTTTAACTGATATCCCTTGAACCACCCTTAATCCTTCAAACCCCCTGTATCACTAGTTCTCAACCATAACAGTTGGAAAACTATCGAGGTCATGTTAACGGGAATCAGAGATATAAAGGGATTTGTAGGATATCGAAGAATTAAGGAGTTATAAAGGGATTTAAAGGGATATAAGGTTTAGATTATAATGGATTTGAAAGGATTACGTGAATTTAACGGAATTAACAAGGATTTCGTGGGAGATTTAAGGATTAATCGAAGATATCTCTTGATATCCGTCCAAATACCCTTATCCGCAATTCCTCAAAATCCTTATAAATCTCTAATATCCTTTGAACCAACAAAAATCACTCCAGATCACCTTGTATCCCTAGATATACCATTTAATCCCTAAAAATCTCACTTAATCCCTCCAGATCCACTTATATCCCATGTTATACACTTTAATCCCTTCAAATCCCCTCTAATTTCTTCAAATCCTACTTAATTTTTGAATAAATCAACGAAAATAT